GACACGCACGCAAGCATTTGCAGGCAAATGGTGGTGCAAGTTTACATTCAAACTTGCGAGGGAGGTTGAAAGTTTGCCTGCAAACTTGCGAGGGGAGGTTGAAAGTTTGCATGCAAACTTGCGAGGCGGGGTTGAAAGTTTGCGTGCAAACTTTCGTTGAAAGTTAGGTAAAAAATTAGTTAAGGCAAAAAAAAGTAACTAATTTAGGTAAGGAAAGATAAGGAATTATACTTTTCGGCAGGAAGTTGCCTAACCTGATCTATTGGGTTTCGCGCGAAACGAGGTTCGATCGCCAAAAGCGGGTTGAAATTGCGATTTTGAAGTGTCGGTCGCAACCCTTTTGCACGAAATGAGGTTCGATCGTCGAAAACTGTGAGGTAAAATGGCGATTTTGAAGTGTCGGTCGCAACATGTCGCAACCATTTCGCACGAAATGATGTTTGATCGTCGCAAACTGAGGTAAAATGGTACTTCTGTGTGTAAAAAGTGTCTGTGTGTAAAAGCTCCTGTGTGTAAAAAGTGTTTGTATGTAAAAGCTTCTTTGTGTAAAAGCTTCTGTGTGTAAAAGCTTCTGTGTGTAAAAGTTTCTGTCTGTAAAAGCTTCTGTGCGTAAAAGGTTCTGTGTGTAAAAGGTTCTGTGTGTAAAAGCTTCTGTGTGTAAAACGATTGTGTGTAAAAGCTTCTGCGCGTAAAAGTTTTTGTGTGCAAAAGCTTCTGTGTGTCAAAGCGTCTGTGTGTAAAAGCGTCTGTATGTAATAACTTCTGTGTGTAAAAGTGCCTGAGTGTAAAAAGCTTCTGTGTGTAAAAGCTTCTGTGTGTAAAAGCTTCTGTGTGTAAAAGCTTCTGTTTGTAAAAGCGTCTGTGTGTAAAAGCGTCTGTGTGTAAAAGCGTCTGTGTGTAAAAGATTCTGTGTGTAAAAGCGTCTGTGTGTAAAAGCTTCTGTGTGTAAAAGTGTCTGCGTGTATGGGAAAATATTTTGTGCGTGAAAGCTTCTGTGTGTAAAAGCTTCGGTGTGTAAAAACTTGCTGTGTGCCAAAGCTTCTGTGTGTAAAAGTGCCTGTGTGTAAAGGCGTTTGTGTGTAAAAGTGCCTGAGTGTATGGGAAACATCTTCTGTGCGTAAAAGCTGTTGTGTGTAATAGCTTCTATATGTAAAGACTTCTGTGTGTAAAAGCTTCTGTGTGTAAAAGCTTCTGTGTGTGAAAGCGTCTTTGTGTAAAAGCGTCTGTGTGTAAAAATGCCTGTGTGTAAAAGCTTCTGTGTGTAGAAGCTTCTGTGTGTAAAAGCTCCTGTGTGTAAAAGCTTCTGTGTGCAAAAGAGTTTGCGTGTAAAAAGCTCCTGTGTGTAAAAAGCTTCTGTTTAAGGCGTCTGTGTGTAAAGCGTTTGTGTGTAATAACTTCTGTGTAAGGCGCCTGTGTGTAAAAGCTTCTGTGTGTAAAAGCGTCTGTGTGTAGAAGCTTCTGTGTGTAATAGCGTCTGTGTGTAATAACTTGTGTGTGTAAAAGTGCCTGTGTGTAAAAAGCTTCTGTGTGTAAAAGTTTCTGTGTGTAAAAAGCTTCTGTGTGTAAAAGCTTCTGTGTGTGAAAGCGTCTGTGTGTAAAAGCGTCTGCTCATAAAAGTGTCTGAGTGTGAAAGCTTGTGTGTGTACTGGCTTCTGTGTGTAAAAGCGTCTGTGTGTAAAAGCGTCTGTGTGTAATAACTTCTGTGTGTAAAAGTGTCTGTGTCTAAAAGCGCCTGTGTGTAAAAAGCGCCTGTGTGTAAAAAGCTTCTGTGCATAAAAGCTTCCGTGTGTAAAAAGCTTCTGCGTGCAAAAAGCTTCTGTGTGTAAAAGCTTGCTGTGTGTCAAAGCTTCTGTGTGTAAAAGCGTCTGTGTGTGTAAAAGTGTCTGAGTGTATGGGAAAAATCTTCTGTGAGTAAAAGTTTTTGTGTGCAAAAGCTTCTATATGTAATTTTAAAAGTTTCTGTGTGTAAAAGTTTCTGTGTGTAAAAGTGTTTATGTGTATAAGCTTCTGTGTGTAAAAGTTTTTGTGTGTACAGGCTTCTGTGTGTAAAAGCTTCTGTGTGTAAAAGCTGCTGTGTGTGTGTGGGTTTGTGTGTGTGTCTGTGTTTATATATATATATATGTGTGTGTAAACATGTTTCTCTGCGTGTGTCTGTGTCTGAGAGCTTATCAGCATATCTGTATGTTTGTATTTTTTCACATCTTCAATAACCTTCTATACAGCATACCTTGCCTGTCTCTTGCAACTAAAACCCTGGCCTCTTCACATCTTCTTATCTTGGCATCTACACATAATGAACATATTCACATGATCTCAAGTAACATTCTCATGAACATCTTCATGCAAGTCTTTGGCATCTGCAAATCATACAACCATGGACCATATACATAACACATCTGAGTACCTGTACACACCTACTCGCTCTCGGGCCAACCATCGTCTAGTGCTTCCCAGGAGAATTACGCATGCAGACGATCCATCGTGGATCTGCAAAGTCAAGTGCAGCGACTTCAACGTTGGGCAAGTGACTTGACCTTTGATCCTGAACTGCGAGATGCCATGACCGCGTGCCAGCGCAACTTCTCAATGCAGAGTCAGAATCGGCATGTCAATGGCAATACCAGAGGGGCCTTGAATAACACATGGTTTTGACGAACAAAGCACTTTGTTTTTCCCACCTGTGATTTGATGAAGACGGAACGTCAAAGCACCACTTGTGCAGCATTTTGTACCATGCTTAATCATCCCGCCGGACCGGAAACCGTGCCCATAAAACGCACGTTTAAAAAAAAATGGTGATTTTACCACAGTGCCGCTGATTTGATGATTGGAAATCCTAGAAAAACTTGGGGCGCGTTTTTTGGCTTTTCAGCGCCATCGCTGCGACGCATGCACCGTTATCAGCTGGCAGTCAGCATTCTTGTGAATGCATCTCCATTGCCAAGCTCTAGCATACACCATCCAGAGGTCACTTTTGGCACTCAAGTTGCTGGGAATTGACTTTTTCATCAGATTCCACATAGAACATGTAACGTAGTAAACGACCCCAGAGATCTCAGCAGCGTAGCAGCATGTAACGTAGTAAACGATCCCAGAGATCTCAGCAGCGTAGCAACATGTAACGTAGTAAACGATCCCAGAGATCTCAGCAGCGTAGCAACATGTAACGTAGTAAACGATCCCAGAGATCTCAGCAGCGTAGCAACATGTAACGTAGTAAACGATCTCAGAGATCTCAGCAGCATGGCGATATATCATGTACGAAGTACAAGGAACGTTAACATGCCCCCCCACCCCACCCCACTCCACCCCACAATCGCGATATTCAAAAACGTGCGTTTTACGGGAACGGTTTTCGGTCCGCAGGCTTAATCATGGAAGAGCAACCAGGGTAACCAAGGACATTGCAATTGAACAAATCTTGATATGCTTGCTGCCAGCTGTCTGCTTCTATTCATCAAGTTGTCAAACTTTGTGCCAAAAGGTTGTCCTTCTAGTTATTCTAGTTGTAATTATTGCGGATTCTGTCCAAGGGCAAGCAATGGCTAGCAGTTAAACGTGTTAAAACAGAGTCTAATGATCGCTGATGATCCATACCGGCTCTTGAGACAACATACAAATGAGCAGAAACGCATTGGGTGCAGCGAGGCATGGATGAGATTGGAGTAGACATCGACTCCAGGCCCATTCTAGCGCAGCTGCTTGCCAGCATAGGATGCATGTTCCGTGTATTGCTAGTATGCCGGGTTGATGTGCCTGAAGCGTATAGATGTGTATAGATGCAAAAGGAAGTGCAGTATTTTCCCAATCTCCTGGATTCATCAGGTCCTCACTTCTTGGTGCTAAAACAAACAAAGCCCACATCGGCAGCTGACAGAGACTACTGTGTGCCTCCTGCGTTCCGCTGACTTGACTTTGAGAATCATTCAGAGCACAAGGCACAGAGCCGCTGTTTATGCTTTGCTCAACACCACTGCGTTGAGTGTGGCTTGGGGCCCCAGGTCGCCGAACTTGTGCTTGTATTGAATGAAGGGAGGTCTACTCTACGTGTGCCATGGTCAAGACATAGTTTATGTGCCCATAAAAGGGGACGGTCATCAATCAATTAAGGGACTCATCGAAGGAAGTTTAGAAGTCAAACTTCCGGCAATATGGACAGATGAAAAGCAGAGCAGGGCAGAGGCAGAGAGAAGAGAAAGATCAGAAGAGAAGAGTAGAAGAGAAAGAGTAAGAAGAAAGAAGATGGAAATGCGCGAAAAGGTAGGAAGGTCGAAAAGTAGGCTCGCTAAAGCGGCGGGTGCGGAGCCAGCTGGCCAGAGGACAGATGAAAAATTGCACGCCGTTGTGGCGCGAAGCACATTTCCAAGTCAAAATGTACAAAACACACCACGTTCGGACCACTTTTGGAAGTTGAGATGTTGAAAAAGTGCACGCCGTTGTGGCGCGAAGCACATTTAAGGTTTTGCAGCTGATAGGGGGTCTTTGGAAATGGATTCTAGGGTCCTTGGTGATTTAGTTCTACCTCTGATTGTGTGATATATGTTTTCCATTATTTATTTCTTTATCTATCTTATCTATCAAGGTAGGTGGCCTTGGTATATACTAGTGACAATGATCCCAAAGGAAAGATCGTCTTGGGCTAGTGTCCCTTGGATGTTTCAATATATTGTTACTTCTTATCCGCCATTCGGTAATCATGCCAAGATGGGGATTGATAATTAGTGTCTCCATCCATTTACCCTTCTATTCGTGGAAGTGCCAGTCAGAACAAACGATCACCATTCGATCGTAGTTCAAATAGGTTTTTTTGGGTTGGGTACTTTGATAAAATATAAATATATATTATATATATATATATATATCAATATATGCAGCCGATAGGGGGTTTTTGGAATTTGATTCTAGGGTCCTTGGTGATTTAGTTCTACCTCTGATTGTGTGATATATGTTTTCCATTATTTATTTCTTTATCTATCTTATCTATCAAGGTAGGTGGCCTTGGTATATACTAGTGAAAATGATCCCAAAGGAAAGATCGTCTTGGGCTAGTGTCCCTTGGATGTTTCAATATTTTTAATTCTTATCCTTCTTTCGGTAGTCATGCCAAGATGGGGGTTGAAAATTAGTCTCTCCATCCATTTACCCTTCTATTCGTGGAAGTGCCAGTCAGAACAAACGATCACCATTCGATCGTAGTTCAAATAGTTTTTTTTTGGTTGGGTACTTTGATAAAATATTAAATATTTTATATATATATATATAATATATACAGCAGATAGGGGGTCTTTGGAATTTGATTCTAGGGTCCTTGGTGATTTAGTTCTACCTCTGATTGTGTGATATATGTTTTCCATTATTTATTTCTTTATCTATCTTATCTATCAAGGTAGGTGGCCTTGGTATATACTAGTGAAAATGATCCCAAAGGAAAGATCGTCTTGGGTTAGTGTCCCTTGGATGTTTCAATATTATTAATTCTTATCCTTCTTTCGGTAGTCATGCCAAGATGGGGGTTGATAATTAGTCTCTCCATCCATTTACCCTTCTATTTATGGAAGTGCCAGTCAGGACAAACGATCACCATTCGATCGTAGTTCAGATAGGTTTTTTTTTGGGGTTGGTACTTCGATAAAATATAAAATAAAATATTTAAAAAAAAATCCCTAAATCTCAAAATCAAGGACCCCGGAATCCTCTGCGGCAAAAATCATGGTAGAATATAATAGTAGGGCTGTTTCCCAAGTCCACATGCCAATTTCTGCACCCTGAGATCGGCATTTTTTTTTTTTTCCCTAAATCCCAGGGTACAACCTCTGTATTGCCCAAGTCTAGGTGCAGATTTTTGCGACCTTACTTAGGCAATACCCCACCAAACACCTAGGATATCGTCAATTTTTTTTTTCCTAACTCAGGGTGCTGATTTCTGCGCCCTGACTTCGGCAAATTAGCTGTTGGACATTGCATTTAAAGGATATATGATGTAGATGTAGAAATAATGGGGGAAATTTAGTACTTGAAAAAAAATAATGATAATCAGGGATAACATTAACATTGGTGGCTTTATACCAAAGGTATATGGGGGCACCACCCTAGAAAAAACAAGAGCGTGGTTGATACCTTTTCCATTTTGATCCAGCAATTGGTTGGTACCCTTCAGAAATGGTAGTGGACCCCAGTTAATCCAAGGAATATAATAAAATAAAATAACCCTAACCGTTACTGGGATGATATCAATTTAGCCAACCAAGTGGTTGCCTAAGAATGAACATAATAATGCACATAAAATTTTCTATGAGTATGGTAAAAAACAAATAGTTATATTAAATAACCAATGGTAAGATGATACCCATTTAATCAACCAATTGGTTACCTCATAGGGAAAATAATAAAGTACCTATAATACAATTCAATTCCACTATCATATATTAAATAGTTGGAAAGACCCAAGAATCCATTTCCAGAGAACCCAGATCAATTGCACAACATAGATATAATATATTCTATATTTTATCGAAGTACCCAACCCCCCATAAAAAAAACTATTTGAACTACGATCGAATGGTGATCGTTTGTTCTGACTGGCACTTCCACAAATAGAAGGGTAAATGGATGGAGAGACTAATTATTCAACCCCCATCTTGGCATGACTACCGAAAGAAGGATAAGAATTAATAATATTGAAACATCCAAGGGACACTAACCCAAGACGATCTTTCCTTTGGGATCATTTTCACTAGTATTTACCAAGGCCACCTACCTTGATAGATAAGATAGATAAAGAAATAAATAATGGAAAACATATATCACACAATCAGAGGTAGAACTAAATCACCAAGGACCCTAGAATCAAATTCCAAAGACCCCCTATCGGCTGCATATATTGATATATATATATAAAATATATTTATATTTTATCAAAGTACCCAACCCAAAAAAACCTATTTGAACTACGATCGAATGGTGATCATTTGTTCTGACTGGCACTTCCACGAATAGAAGGGTAAATGGATGGAGACACTAATTATCAATCCCCATCTTGGCATGATTACCGAATGGCGGATAAGAATTAACAATATATTGAAACATCCAAGGGACACTAGCCCAAGACGATCTTTCCTTTGGGATCATTTTCACTAGTATATACCAAGGCCACCTACCTTGATAGATAAGATAGATAAAGAAATAAATAATGGAAAACATATATCACACAATCAGAGGTAGAACTAAATCACCAAGGACCCTAGAATCCATTTCCAAAGACCCCCTATCAGCTGCAAAACCTTATTTCCAAGTCAAAATGCACAAAGCACACCAGGTGCGGACCACTTTTGGCACTTGAGATGTCGAAAAAGTGCACGCCGTTGTGGCGCGAAGCACATTTCCAAGTCAAAATGTACAAAACACACCACGTTCGGACCACTTTTGGACGTTGAGATGTTGAAAAAGTGCACGCCGTTGTGGCGCGAAGCACATTTCCAAGTCAAAATGCACAAAACACACCAGGTGCGGACCACTTTTGGAAGTTGAGATGTCGAAAAAGTGCACGCCGTTGTGGCGCGAAGCGCATTTCCAAGTCAACATGTTAAAAACACTAGGGGTTCGGACCAATTTTGGAGGTTCAGATGTCGAAAAAGTGCACGCCGTTGTGGCGCGAAGCACATTTCCAAGTCAAAATGTACAAAACACACCACGTTCGGACCACTTTTGGAAGTTGAGATGTTGAAAAAGTGCACGCCGTTGTGGCGCGAAGCACATTTCCAAGTCAAAATGCACAAAGCACACCAGGTGCGGACCACTTTTGGAAGTTGAGATGTCGAAAAAGTGCACGCCGTTGTGGCGCGAAGCGCGTTTCCAAGTCAACATGTTAAAAACACCAGGGGTTCGGACCACTTTTGGAGGTTCAAATGTCGAAAAAGTGCACGCCGTTGTGGCGCGAAGCACATTTCGAAGTCAAAATGTTAAAAACACCAGGGGTTCGGACCACTTTTGGAGGTTCAAATGTCGAAAAAGTGCACGCCGTTGTGGCGCGAAGCACATTTCGAAGTCAAAATGTTAAAAGCACCAGGGGTTCGGACCACTTTTGGAAGTTCAAATGTCGAAAAAGTGCGCCCCCCCCTTGACCCCCCCCTTAATCTGGTACGGTACGGTGGTACGGTTCACTGGTACGGTTGGTATGGTCGGTTGGTAAGCGTACCAAACGTACCTTACTAAGCGTACCAAGCGTACCTACCCAAAGCGTACCAAGCGTACCAAGCGCACCAAGCGTACCGTACCAAGCGCACCAAGCGTACCAAAGCGTAGCGTACCTATCTTATAGCTGGATATCAAGCACCTATCTTGAACTTAGATAAAGCTTGGGTTAAAATGGACAGCTTGTATCTGGATGCAATGCATCAATATCAAAGTGGAGGCATGGTGGGTCAAGAGATCGGCTGCTGGTACACGCGGTTTGTCGACTGTGGGTACTCAGTGTCGATGCTGCAGCAATGGGTCCATATCGGTTGGTCAGCTGCGCATGGCCATCAGCCACCGAGTTTGGCAGCCAATGAGAAACTATTCAGATACGAGCAAGACTACAGAGGCGACGCAAGTGCGTGCAGCACGATGCTGCCACTTCTTTGGGCATTCTGCATCGAAGTCCTTAGAGATGTAGAGCCGATGGCGACTGCCTGCACGTCTCTTGCCTCTTTGTATGATGTCGTTCGTTGTTTGCAACGATGCAAAATTGATGTGGCCAATGGAGCTCACTTGTTGCCTTTGCAAAGGAAGCACATGATGAGCTTCCAAGAAGCGTACGGCGCTTCGCACACAAGGCCCAAAGCCCACTATGCGTTGCATCTGAGCGCTCAAATGCAAAGATGGCAGCGTCACATCGATTGCCATGTGGGTGAACGAAAGCATCGTCTCTTCAAGCGATATGTTGGTCCCAAAATACCGAAATTGGAAGGCTACGCCAAGAGCGTGCTGCTGCATTTGACTGATATAGAATTATCCAATCAGGAACCAAAAGAAAGATGGACGGGCCAAGTGGTCGGTGTTCTACGTGAACAACCAGAAACAGCTCAGAAAGTTGGCCTGCCTAAGTCGGCATTGTTTGCGACGGGCGTTGAAATCGGATGCGTAGAATTTGCTCGAGGCACTTTCCTGCGCATATCAAAATATTCTTGTGTGGAAGTGCATGGCTGTGTTGCCGGTGAAAAAAAAATTGCTGGTGCAACCACTCCATTGGCACAGTGCATCCAACCCTCGTTTTCCTAAGTGGAAAAAAGAAGATGGCAAATTGGCCCTGATGCCGCTGCATTTGCTCAAAGGCCACGAGCCTTATCGCTTAATTCGACAAGATAGATCCGGAGTATGGCTCTTAAGATGATTGCCGCACTGTCCGGTAGGAGCAAGACACTTGCGCTTCTCGCGCTGGGCTCTCGAAAAAAAAACAGCTGCGCAAGCATCGATCCATATCGATCCACTCAAACAGAAGTTAGTTGTAATGATATACACAGGTCCTTAAAAAAAAACTGAAATTCCCCAGAACTTCCATTCCTCCTTATTTATATAATTTAAGGAGTTTTTTTTTAGGAATTCCACCTTAACTAAGGAGGAATTCCCTTGATTAAGGAGGATTTTTTCCTTTATTAAGGAATTCCACCTTAATTAAGGAGGAATTATCCTTAATTAAGGCGTTTTTTTTTTGAAAAATCCTCCTTATTTTTTTTTTTAAGGAGGATTTTTTTCACTGTTTTTAGATACATCTTTGACATCATCATTGCATCAAGACCAACCTTTGGAGGTTGCTTCAAGGAGATGCAAGATCTCCTTTTGGTGTTTTGATTTCCTGCATCTAAGGTTTGTGCATCGCATCTGCAGTTGATTTCTCAAGATGAGTAGAGCTAAGAACACTGCTTCTGTTAAAGACCTTTGCAAATGTTTGAAAGCAGAGGTGGCTTGTTTGGATCCCAAGGATTACTTGGATGTTGAAATTGATCAAGTTTGCAAGCATTATCGAACATTTTTGGGCTTGATGTTCCAGAAAACAATTCGACCATCCAAAGACTGCTTGAAGGAAGCTGCCTTGAAAGTCAACCCTCGCACTTTGAGTGACGAAGCGAAGAAGTGGTCGTCTGCAATTGTCGAATGTGTGCAACACATCAGAACAAAAGCAAAATGGTCAATTTCAAGTAAGAAATATGAGCCTTGGATGGGTGAGCTTGTGAAGATCTATCTGGAGTGCTCAGAATTCCATGGGAACCGGCAGAAAGGCAAGTTTGTTCAGAAAGCCATTGCCAAGCGAAGGCTCATGAGACAAAGTTCCAATGCGAGCTCCATCCCACAGTTGCCTGTGAACGAACCACTTTTGCAAAAATTTCCTCCAGGCCACAGCTCAGAAACATTGGATAGCCAAGAGCATCAATTGATAGAAGTGTCGAGTGAAGAGAGCCAAGTGAGTCCTAAGAAGCCTGTGAGTGCTGGAACCTGGATCGATTCTACTGCCATGGTGGTATGTCGCTTTGTGGATAGCAAGGTGGAGAAAGCTACTATGAGTGAAGGACCAAATGGCTTTGCCATTGCTGCTTTTGGTGAAAACAAATTTGAATCTGAAATTCCCAATGAATCTTTGAAGATCTATAGGCAATCTGCAGGTGGGAAAAGGCCTGCTGCAGTCTTGAAAAGGCCTGCTGCAGTCTTGAAAAGGCCTGCTGCAGTCTTGAAAAGGCCTGCTGCAGTCTTGAAAAGGCCTGCTGCAGTCTTGAAAAGGCCTGCTGCAATCTTGAAAAAGCGTGCTGCATGTGAAGCAGTACTTGGCACTTCTGAAGAAGAGGATGTTGAAGCTCGGCCGGCTGTTGCAGTTGCTGATCCTGAACCTGCTGCTGTTGACTTGGCATCTCCTGAATATCGCTTGGAAGATTATCCTGCCAAAGGCAGTCGAAAGTATGGTGCTTTAGGTGTCAGACGAAATTTTGGAGACAAGAAACAAATCAAATCTTTCACTTTGAACAAAACTTCAAGAGAAGTTGGCTTGGATTTGGCCCAGAAATGCATTGCTGATTTGCACAATGGTGCTACTGAACAATCTGTGATTGAATTTTTGAATGAGGAAATTCGAAAGTGGAAGGTTGGACAGGATGTGGATTAGATTGGATGAAATTGCAAAAAATGGCTGCTGATTTCTGTTGCATGTTTCAAGGAGGTGTAAAATCTCCTGAGAGTTCTCTATAGGAAAATAGGAAATAGTCTTTCCACTTTTCTGTCTTAAGGAGGTGCAAGATCTCCTGACATTTGGAACTTGAGCGTTTAGTGCCTGGGTGGATTTCAAAAATGGCTTATAGACTTTCATAGGATGTGGCTTTAATGTTTAATGTTGGATTGGAATTCTGGATTTGAGAAGTTTTGTCTGGAATTTGGAATGTTGAAATTTGGATTTTGAATATTTATATATATGTTTTCCAACGCTGGATGCAGGTCTACCACTGGGGGAGGGAGTGAGAGGTGCAGCAGCCCAACTCACTTACATGGCTGACATGGGGGTCATCTCAATTGAAGAAGCAAGAAGACGAATGAGAAATCTCTATGCTGTGAGAGCTTCTCAAATCTATGGAAACTTGAATCATTTAGATAATGATTTTGTTTCATATATGGTTTGATATATCATGTTATGAAGGAGATGCAAGACCTCCTCAGATGATTTTTGTTTTGTGCATAAGGAGATCTTGCACCTCCTTTGTTTCAGTTTCAATGCATCATGAGGACCACCTACTGCACCTATTGCACCTACTGCGCATGCTACTCCATTGGAGCTCCTGGATGAAGGAATGATCTACACAGGCTGGAGTTTTCTGTGACTGTGGATTTGAAAGTATCTCATGTCAACCATGCACTGTGCAATATGTTCATCATCATGCCTCCTGATCAGGTCCTGCTGTAACCCCATATTCTCCTACATCACCTATTGATGCTGGAGAGCAAGCCGAAAAACCCAAAGAGGATGAGGATTCAAATATAGATTGAGTCAATTGAGCTTCCCTGGAAAAATGATTGGAGATTATGGGCGCAAGCGACTCTTTAAGGAGGTGCAAGATTTCCTTGATAAACTAAATTTAAATTTAAGTAAAACATGATATCTGTGATATGAGCATTTCTGCATGGCTGAAGCTGTCAAGTCATATTGATCAATGTAGTGGTGATGGACCTGTAGAATCATTTTTGAAGCCTTGATGGATGCACATGATCAGCTTTGGAATGATGATGAGAGCTGATGATCTGAACCTGAGGTATCACAATCATTGCACTAGTGTCCAATACTGGAATCAAAAAGGAGGTGCAAGATCTCCTTGGCCGAAGCTGATGCCCATCCATTTCCTTTGTTTGAGTGGCTCTTGGCAACTCTGGATACAATTCATTCAGGTCATGCATGATGACTGTAAAGGTTTCAAATTGGAAAAATAAGGAGGTTAAAATTGGTTAAAATTAGAATTGCCAATTTTAATTTTAACCAGTTTATGTATTACTTTTAAAGGCAGGATAGGTTAAAATTAAAATTGGCAATTTTAATTTTAACCAGTTTTAACCTCCAATAAAAATCACTTTGGATCCAAAATAGAAACCATTGGATTTGGAACTGGAGATTCATAGACATCCCAACTTACTTCATCATTACACTTTTCAGTTTTCAATGAAAGGTTCAATGGAACCTCCAAAGGAACTGCCTCCATGGAGGAAGCAGCCACTGGCCAACAGGCAGATCGCAATGATCAAATGTATGCCAACAAAGAAGCTTTTGAAGCACTATGAGTACCTGAGAACATCTGAGACTTGTAAGCACATTATTCATGGATGAAATTCATAGTTTCTGTTGATAAAGCTGGCTTGATGAGAAAAGAATTACATAGATCCCTGAACCTGTGGCCCAACCCAGGAATGCGTGTCAAGAGCAGTTGAAAGCCATTGCCAACCTTCGATCCTATGTCGCAGCCAGTGAAGATCTTGCTCCTGAGGACACTTCTCCTGAAAGCCTTTCGAAACCATTGCCTGCTGCCAAAGCATGGCTTGCTTCCAGCCAAGAGAAGCTGCAAGAAGCAAAAGCCAAGGTGAAAACTCACCAGGCATTGCTGTAGGAGCTGTTCGGCCCTTAGATTTTGGAAAGCACATTTGGTGCAGCTGTCAGTTTTGGAATGTGGAAATGCAGATTAAAATATCGCAGGGATCTGCTTGGAAGATGCACAGCTGGTAACTGTCGCTGGAAAAAGAGCCTGCTTCTAAGCTGGTGTACAAGACTCAAGGAGGTGTAAGATCTCCTTTACTGTTTCCCTGTTTCATAGCATTGGCCAAATTTAGCATTAACTTAACTAAATACAATGTGTAACTTCTTGTCTTCTGAGATCTTATGAACTTTTATGTTGACATGTTTTTCCAGCTCAAGCCATGTTTCACAAGAGAAAGGTAGATTTGTCTACCCTTAGGGAACCTTACCAGAAGAGGTTTCGACACAATGTTTCCAATTTGTTTTTGGCCAAGACTGTCGCTGCTAGAAGAGCCAATGAGCTCATGAAAGATGCACAAATAGCTGGAGCTACTGGTGTGAAAGATTTGGTCAAAGGTGCAGAGAAATCTGGCAGTGGTGAGAAGCAAGCCAATTGGGAAAAGAATTTGGCAAGGGATATGAAAAGAAAAATGTTGAAGAATTGCCTGTGGTTCAATGAATACATTGCATTGATCCCTTGCTACAATCCTGGAACACAAGCAGAAGAGATGAAGAAGATACCTTTTCTTTTGCCACATGAGATTCTTTTTGTCTTCTCGAAGCGCTCTGAGAAGAAAGACTTGCTGCAGACTGGTGGCATGTGTGAACTCAGCAAGAAGCATTTGTCGAACATGCAAATGCAGTTCCAAGTTCGAGAAGCCATAGGACTTGGCCTTTGGATCGATGGCACACCTTACAATTATGACAGAAGTCAAACTTTGGAATGCATCTCATTGAATTTTCCTGGCTTACTTCCACCTAATGGTACTTTGCGAATCCCTTTGTGCTGTATTCCAAAGCACTGGTGCATCAAGGGAGTAACTTTGTCGAAGATGTTAGGAATTTTGTCCTGGTCTTTTATTCACTTAGCCAATTGCACTTGGCCTTCAGCAAGGCATGATGGCAGCTTTTGGCACCCAGGCGACAAGAAACGAAGCACATTCAATGGCAAGGCATTGCCTTTCACTACTTTTTTACTTGAAGTGAGAGGTGATTGGGCTATGAGAAAAGAAGTTTTCCAATTTCCTGCATGGCGAGACAAACAAGGATGCTGCCATTTGTGCTTGCGCAAACCACTTGAAATTCGAAACTTTGAAAGCTGCAAGGCATTTGATCCTTTGGACCATTTCACTTTGTTGCAATCCATTTCCAATTCTGGCATTGACATCAATGAATTGTTTCAAACACCAGGACTGACAAGCAAACAATTTCTTTTGGAGTGGCTTCACATTGTGGACTTGGGCGTGGCAGCAGATTTTATGGGCAATGTTTTTCACCATTTAATTGCCTCTGGAAATCACTTGCCTGGCAACAATGTCAAAGAAAGGGTGAAAAGCTTGTTCCACAGAATTCAAAGCTACTACAAGACTGAAGGTGTGGAAAACAAGCTTCCTACTTTGACAGTCCTCATGATCAGAAAGAAAGCCAGTTCAAGTCCAAAACTTCGAGCCAAAGCTGCAGAAGCTCGAGGGTTGATTACTTTTGCAAAACAAATCTGCGATGAATTTTTGGCTGATGACAATGTGCTTGAATATACAATCAAGATGGCTGCCACAGAACTGTGGCAATGTTATTCTTTCTTGTCCAAGAATCTATGGAATCACCAGTCAATGCTGCTGCATGGCAGAAAGTTTTTGCTGTTGCGCAAGAGCTTGGAAAACGAAACTGACCATACTTGGAAGATCAAACCAAAGCACCACAGCTTCTTAGATTTATTGCTCCAGAACTCTTGTCCATCAGACAGTTGGACATATCGAGACGAAGACTTTGGTGGCTTCCTAGCTCACTTAGGAGCTGTGAAAGGTGGAAGCCACAACCCTTTTTCCATAGGCATGATTGTTCTGCAAAGTTTTCGAGCACAAGTGATTCCAGAGCTGAAGTGAAAAGTTTTGCTGCCAGGATCTGGGATAAGGAGGTTTCAAGTCTCCTGCTGAAGGAGGTGCAAGATCTCCTTGCAATTGAAAATTTAAGGAGGAATTTTAAGGAGGAATTTTTCAAAAATTCCACCTTAATTTAAGGAGGAATTCCTTAAATAAGGAGGTTCCTTAAATAAGGAGGAATGGAAGTTCTGGGTCCTTAAAAATCCGCAACGAAGAGAAACTTCAAAAAAAAACGTACTAAAACTTATGATGAACTTACGATGAACTTACGATGGACTTAACATAGCACCTTGATAAGTTCATCATAAGTTCTTGCTAAGTACCATAAGTTCAAACTTCCTCCAAAGAAGGGTTTGAAGCGTTTGACGGCGGGCAAACAGAGCTTCAACGCCCTGAAAAACAGATGGCTGGGGCGTGTAGCTGCGAGAGTTGCCTTGGAAAGGCCTGCGGGAGGGTTTGAAGCGTTTGAGGGGTTTGAAGGCGGGCAAACGGCAGACTTGAACGCCCTTAAAAACAGATGGCTGGGGCGTGTAGCTGCGAGAGTTGCCTTGGAAAGGAGTTGCCTTGGAAAGGCCTGCGGAAGGGTTTGAAGGAAGCGTTTGACGGCGGGCAAATAGAGTTTCAACGCCCTGAAAAACAAATGGCTGGGGCGTGTAGCTGCGAGAGTTGCCTTGGAAAGGCCTGCAGGAGGGTTTGAAGCGTTTGAGGGGTTTGAAGGCGGGCAAACGGCAGTCTTGAACGCCCTTAAAAACAGATGGCTGGAGCGTGTAGCTGCGAGAGTTGCCTTGGAAAGGCCTGCGGGAGGGTTTGAAGCGTTTGAGGGGTTTGAAGGCGGGCAAACGGCAGTCTTGAACGCCCTAAAAAACAGATGGCTGGAGCGTGTAGCTGCGAGAGTTGCCTTGGAAAGGCCTGCGGAAGGGTTTAAGGGTAAGGGTTTGAAGCGTTTGACGGCGGGCAAACAGAGCTTCAACGCCCTTAAAAACAGCGGGCTGGGGCGTGTAGCTGCGAGAGTTGCCTTGGCAAGGCCTGCGGAAGGGTTTGAAGCGTTGGCTGGGGCGTGTAGCTGCGAGAGTTGCCTTGGAAAGGCCTGCGGGAAGGTTTGGTCGTGGGAGCTGCCGCGGCGCGTTTGCTTCTTTTGAGGCTTGGCAAACCGCTGAAACACAGAGAAGCAATTGTTGCTGGAATGTGAGGTCCATGGCCGTGACAAAGCAGGTTCCACACCTCCGGTGGTCCCAGGCGCCGCCCCTGCCTTGGCCAAGGCAGGGGTCGACGGATTTTGGCATGTTCACAATTAATTTATTTTTTCTGCCATGTCAGTTCTACATTTATCTCCGTTTGGGGCTCCTGGATGAAAACGGTGAGCTGGAGCCTCATTTTTTAACCCCATTTTATCCAAATTTAGGCCCAAGAATGTTGGGCCTCAGTTTTTTTTTTTTATCTTTTGGTTCCTTCTTTTACATATTTTAGAATTTTGATTTTAAATAAACCATGAAGCCAAAGGATTTCATCCGAGGGAACATCTCTTGAGAGCATTTTTGCAATAGGTTGGGCGCAGGTAGTTTCAACCACTGAAGCTTACTGAGAACCATTTTTGGCCTGAAGGTTGCACACAGGTTTTCATTCAACCGTGTCTTCTTGCAAGGCTCGGCATTTTTGCCGCCTATACGGTGAACATTGAAATTTTGAGAGGTGTATCTTGGGAGGTTGGATGAGGATGGGTTTGCAAAATTGAGTCATTAGTCGTTTGTGTTATATCTTGGGACGTTGGTACAGGATGAGTTGGCTCACATGCGTGGTGTAACATGGCAAGCTGTTCAGGCAAAGTTCAAAACAGCGATGTGTGAGATGAACAAATTCGGATCTGAAGTTTGTAGTGTGTTTTGGGACGTTGGTTCAGGATGGGTTGGCTCACATGTGTAGTGTAATATGGAGAGTTGCTCCAGCAAAGTTCAAAAGAGGGATGTGTGAGATGAAAATCTTAGGGTCTGAGGTTTTGTGGTGTGTCTTTGGAACGTTTGTTCAGGATGGGTTGGCACACATGCGTGGTGTCATCTGTTCCGAGTTGTTCCGGCAAAGTTCAAAACAGGGATGTGTGAGATGAACATTTTCGGGTCTGAAGTTTGTAGTGTGTCTTGGGACGTTGGTTCAGGGTTGGCTCACGTGCGTGGTGTAACATGGAGAGCTGCTCCGGCAAAGTTCAAAAGAGGGATGTGTGAGATGAAAATCTTAGGGTCTGAGGTTTTGTGGTGTGTCCTCAGGATGGGTTGGCACACATGCGTGGTGTAATCTGTTCCGGGTTTGTTCCGGCAAAGTTCAAAACAGGGATGTGTGAGATGAACATTTTCGGATTGAAATTTGTAGTGTGTCTTGGGACGTTGGTTCAGGATGGGTTGGCACACATGCGTGGTGTAATATGGAGAGCTGCTCCGGCAAAAGTTCAAAACAGATGTGTGAGATGAAAATCTTAGGGTTTGAGGTTTTGTGGTGTATCTTTGGAACGTTGGTTCAGGGTCGGCACACATGCGAGGTGTAATCTGTTCCGGCAAAGTTCAAACTAGGGATGTGTGAGGAGAAAATTTTCGGATTGAAGTTTCTAGTGTGTCTTGGGACGTTGGTTCAGGATGGGTTGGCACACATGCGTGGAAAACAGGGATGTGTGAGATGAAACTTTTCGGATCTGAAATTTGTAGTGTGTCTTGGGACGTTGGTTCAGGATGGGTTGGCTCACGGTACACTTTTGGAGTCTCTATTCGATGCTGATGGGATTGACTGATGTGGTGGTTGTTTGACTTTATTGGCATATTTAAACGGACCACTTCGGAATCTCCTAGGCTACTTGGAGAAAGCGTTTCCAAGTATTTACATGCCAACAAGGCATCAGTTGAAAAGCTTTGGCAGACACAGAAGCTGTGTGGGATGAAAAGGGTGTGGTTGAGCGTTCTCTGGGGAAGTTTTGATTTTATAGTTTAAGTTTTTTTTCAACATACGCTGAGCACTGCTGTTTTCATTTCGTGTGCCATTTTTAATTTTCAACATACCCCAGAGACACTGAATTTATTTTTTTGTACCTTGATTTTTCATTTTCAGAAATAGGGGTGCGGTCGGCTTTTCATCGTTTCATTTTTTTTTGCTCCTACCTTGGCCCTCCAGGTTTTTAAACTAGGTGTTTGGGATGAAAACCTGGTGCTGCACCCTAAGTTGAACGCCCAACGGAGATATATTCCTGCTGACGGCTTGTTACCACTTGGACACACATACCCCCATATAAGTTCATTATCTGTAGGTTGTAGGGTTTTCTTGCGGTGACCCCGAAAAAGAAAACAATCATAGAACACCCAATTTTTTGAACAGGGTGCACAAAGATCAGACACATGGGGCGAAAATACAACTGTGGAACACACAGGGGCCACCACAGTCATTTATATAATGTTTCCCAGTTTTCTTGCGGAACCAGGATTGTACGTAGAAAGAATGGGTATGGTAACCTCCCGTACTTGCGTCATCCTCAATTATTTTCGTTCTATTCTATAGATTTGTTGACGGACATGGAAGGATTCCCACTATGGGATAGACGGATAGATGACCATACTCCATTGTCTTGACCATGGTGCAAATCTTCATGAATCTTCATTACACATGGTCTCTAGTGCACAGGACGGATTGCAAGCCATTCTGCTCCAGCTTGTCTGTGATGTCCCAGCAAATCGCAATGAGGCCACATCGGCCACGTTTGCAGTGGCCTCAATCTTTGAGCTTTGTCGAAGCCTTGCGAAGCGTTTGGAGATCCTCAGGCTTTTGGCGGCGGTGTGAGTTCAATGGGGCTACCTGGACCACCAAAATTCGTTCGCCACAGCCACTGAACGAAGATCCATCGCACGGCTTCCCCCAAATACAGAATGATACAGAAGACTTCAGCATCTTCAGCTGCATTTTGGTGAATTTTGATCCCTTCCATCAATCATTTCATTATATCATCAATCAGTTGATGGTGAATCAATGTGAATCCTATCCATGATCAATCGACAGCTACAGGTGGCATTTGACATACTTCCTCTTGCAGCTGGTCCTTCAGGATGCCAAGGACGCTGCCAGTCATGATCACACCCTGCAAAGTGAGAACAGCAGACCACTAGATACCAGAACCTTCGGCAGTCCAAAGGATGATTTCATTTTTTTCTTGTATTTAAAGACACTTTGTACTTGATTGAATACTTGTACCTTTGATCTAGAACTCAAAGAAACACCATTCTCTGCGCCAATCAGAAGGTCCACAATCCATTGATTGTCACAGTGTGTAAAACCTGTGCAGATTCACTATCACGAGTACTGTTGCACAAGTCAGATGCTTATTTCAGCACAAGGGATTGGATTTGTTTTGATTGTTTGTGGGTTGTTGCGCTGCGTCACTTCAAACCAAGTGCAGACGGGAAAACAGGGAGGACATTCCAGCCTTGCAAGGCAGAACAGATCAAACCTTCAAATATTTCATGAGATTTCATTGTGTTCTGAATCAGTAACGTTATAGGTAGACTATGGTTTTGCAAATTTGGGAGGGGAAAACCAGTGGCTGCTGAGGCATTTCATGGTTTTAACATGTTGTCCGCAACCTTAACGTTCGCCCAGACTCATCATTGTGACATAACAGAGACAATTCTGTGTTGCTGGGAAGTTGCGAATCCAAGCAAGGACAAGGGGAAAAATAGGTCACGGTGGTATGTGAAAGATACCTTGAATATAGTTATTTCCATAAGGAAACAATATCACCTGATCATCATGAGGGATAACAGCGAACGGGCTAACAGCGCGCCACCCTCTATGGCCAATATGTTGAATCGGGTAATTACATCAACATTATCTTCATAAGGGAACAAAATCCGCCACCCCCTACGCCAATTTCTGAACGGGCTAACAACATCAACTTTATCTTCATGAGGGATCAAAATTTGCCACCTCCTCAGAACAATATGTTGATTGCGGAAATAGCATCAACTTTATCTTCATGAGGGATCAAAATTAGCCACCCCCTCTGAACAATACGTTGATTGCGGGACATCAACCCCGGGCAAACGTCCAGGTTGCAGCGAACATGTTTTGCCATCATTGCCATGTCTCTTATTGCCCCCCGTTTCTGGACATGTTTAACATATGGAGAACTCCAAACTGGCTTTCTCTTGAAATGGGTTGCCATGGTTACCCCAAAATCTCAGGTGGTGAAGTCCTGGCTTCCGTGGCTGGGAGTTTGCAAACAAATGCCACCCTGGTGGAGGCATGGGGAAACATGTTGTGGAAAAGTGGCAAAAAATTGGCTATGTGCATGTAACTACCATGATGTTCCATGATTTTTTTTCGGGATCTCCTTGAAGTGTAACTTTTTTTGCAAGTGAAGCGTTACAAGAGAAAAGCCTTGTGAGATCCCATGACAGGTAGGTGTTGAGACTGGTTCAACTTCTGCGGAACTCTTTGAGCTTTTGCGCCTTGACCACATTATTTGGGGATATTGATGTCGATAGAAATCTATAGAGAACAAACAATTGTTACTGAATATTTTACACTATTGCACCAGACATTTGATTATAATAGACAATCATACAGATAAATATAATATGATGAACAACATACAATTGTCATGCCTAGGTGTGCATATAGAATCATATATATATATATATATATATCATACATATACACACATACAAAGTAGCCTCGTTCAATGAAGTAAAATGATATTCTCTCACATTGGTATTAAATAGTCATGATTGGCACAACCATTTGATTGGGATTAATTGGATGTAATCCAATGAACCCAATGGTTCGCTTGGAGGTATCTGAATCATTGAACCATCTTTAGATCAACGCCCACACTTAATCTTGAGTATGAGCATCAGGTGTGTTACAACCGGGCGTGACTGAGACGGTCAGCATTTTGAAGATATCAAAATGGACTCCGGAATGGTCCGCATCAATGACTGATTAATCGTTGGTCACATTCTCACTGTTGAGGATGTGTGTTCATTTCTCATTTTGTTTTGCGTGAAAGATCGTGAAAGATCGTGAAAGTACCATAGACGTCAGAGGTCCTAACATCGAATGGTCAAACCGTGAAGCCTTGAGAATGACATTCCCACAGTTTTGCTTCTACCACTTTGCATTTTCGCCGCCTCCCAAGAATGACCATGACGTTTCTACCAGTTGTAGAGGAACCATCTGTGGAAGTTCCAGGTGCTTCAGATGGCCATGTAAGATCATGTAAGAATGAACACGAACTTTTGACTGGTCAAAGCCGTTTGTAGTTAGTAGTTTATTACTTGTGCTATATTTCATCAACATTTGACATGCACGTCAAGACTCAAGAGTTGTTCTTTGATTTTCAGGTAATGCGGCACTGCAGCCATGGAGGTGTGCTCCGCCGTCTCAGGCGAGACGCTGGCATTCCTTGATCCAGAGGAGTCCCCAGCATCAAGGCATCAGTCTTCAGCAAGCATCCTGGGGGTGAAGAAGACTGGTGGGATGAGACAGCGCTTGCAGTGCCCTTGGGGCAAAACACCAGCCTCTCAGGATGACATTTTTCAGTATTCAGTTACCGATGTTTCAGACTTTTGTTTCCAATCTCAGCTTTCACATGTAGCAACTTATGGGGGCATGCCTTATGGATGGTCGCCTAGTTCACTGGATAGAAACAGAATGGCCCATGCCACCAATGGCAATGGTCCTGGTGGAGCTCACAAAGGTAGCGGCAAAGGCAAAAAAGGGCGCCAAGAGTGTTTACACAGCTCCTTCTCCTGCTCCAGTTCCTCTCCCTGACGGTGGTTTGCTGCAGAGTTGGGGTAGTGCTCCAGCAGACGTGGAAGAGACACAGTTACTCCGTGACATTCAGGACGCCATGCCGCTGGAAGCCAAACTGCGCAAGATGCCCAAGCTCGTTCCGGAAGAATGGAACGCGCCTACCTTGTTGTATACTCAGTTGTCAGCCAAGGGAGGCGTCTCTTTGGTTCCTAAGGAGGCCATCCCATCAGTCATGCGGTCAGTTGGATTCACAGCTGCGGCCACGGCTATGCTTATCACTGCCATTCCGTCAACCTTGGGCCTGTGTTCTTACCCCCATTCACAAGTGGAGTGCACCATCATTCTCAATGACACCAGCGAAGAAAAGGAAGTGCGAGTTAGCAGATGGTGCGTCCAGCTGGGTTTCACAGCCCATGTGTTTCGAGTGGCGGAAGGTCCAAAGATTTCTTTGGCTCAGACCATGCTTCGTATGGTTTGCAAACAACCGGAAGAGTTTGGTTGGCCATCAGAATGCCGTGCTCGTAACATCACTGGGGTCTTGGAAAAACATGGCATCTCTTTGGTTGGCATTAGCGAAGTTCAAGTTCGAAGTGACATTTCCAGCACTTTCTTGGCTCACACCAACTTGGCCAAGAGCATCCTGCAGCTTTCAGGTTTGGATGGGACTTTCTTCAAGGTCCATGCTGACAGTCAAGCTGATTTTGCAATGGTGGACACTTTTTTGGTATGGTTGCCTGATCACACCACCTTGGCGGTAGGACGTCAACTGCTTGATGGACTTTCGCATCTCGGACTGGTTTGCAAGAGGAGGTCAGCACCACATCGCTTCGCAGCCAGGTTTGCTAGTCAGCAGGATGCCCAGGCGTTTTGCCGGAAGCACAGCTTTGAGGACCTCACGTCTTATGGTCGCTGGAAGCTCTATGGTCTGCCGGTGGCCACCGGCCTTGCAGGTGCGGTCCAGTTTCTCAAAGATCAAGGCTGGAATCCCTATGTGGTTGAACATTTTGATGCCAAGAGTCTCAGTTTTCTCGCAGATTCGCTGGGACAGAATTCTCCTTTGCAACTTCAGGCTCCAAACGGTCATGCCGTGCAGATCAAGTTCAAGGCGGTCAACAGTGCAGCTAGAGCCTTGTCCCAACGGGCTACAGCATCGGCGGTTGCAAAAGCAAGTGCCTCATTGCCAAGCAAAGTTGGTCAGCTTGGCAAGCAGCAGAAAGATTTTTTGGAGTCAGTCACACCGCAAAACAAGCGTCCAGGTGAGAAGACCGGCACCACGCCGGAGGCGCAAAGACAGAAGACTTAGCAAGAGTGAGGGTCCATTTTGGCTCCAAACGAGTGGTTTCACTTCGCCTACCCTCGTTAAACGTGGTTGGGCTTCAGTTTGTTGCGCACAGCGATCGCAACAGATGAGGGCTTTGCATGGTAATGGAACAGACTCCATTCCCACTTGTTGGCTGGGCTCTTTCAATGCAGATGGCCTCACCAAGAGTGGCAGGTGGAACACTTTGCTAAGCTACGAATATGACATTTTGTGTCTTCAAGAGACCCACCTTTCAGCCAGTAAACAACAAGTCTTGACCAGCTCTACTTCTTTACATTGCTTGTGGGGTGCGCCCATTTTGGGCACGTCGCGTTGTGGCGTTGGAATCATCATCAATCCATCAAAATTTGCAAACATCACTCCCATTGTTTGGCCTCAGGATCATTGCTGCTTTCAATTTTGGAAAGATGCGCGTTTACAAGCCATCTTGGTGCATCGACATGACAACAGTGCTCTGCTGATTTACAACATTTATGGTCCGGCTGGGGCCAGAGAAACCGCTTTGGCTAAGCGGTACCTGCAGCAAATGCTTCGGGCGGTTACTTCTGACATGATGGCCCGTAACCTTCCGAGCGTGTTGGTAGGAGATTTCAATGCTGAAGTTGAAGCCACTCCATTTCTGCAAACATTATTGGGCGATCCGTGGCAAGATTTGTCAGGTCTACAGTCGGGGGGTCCCACATTTACTTGTCACAAAGGTTCTGGTTCTCGCATTGATCACATCTGGTGTTCTGTTAATTGTCTTCCCATCATTTTGACTTTTGAGACGCATAGCAACCCGTTTACTGACCGGGGTCATGATATTTTGGAAGTTGGTATTTTGAACAACAAGCGGGCCGTTCCTCGCTTGACTCCTCGCCAAAGTTTCAATTTTGATCATCTTCGTGCCAGCAATCAGGTATTTCATATGGACATGCCCAGAGAATTTTTCACTGCGTTGGAACAAAGAGATGTTGAGCAGGCCGCAGCTTTGTGGTCAAAACAGGCCGAAGCAGTTTTAATTCACCTTCAACATGACCAAATTGGTCCCATCACAAGATTAGGTCAACCTCGTGGCAAAATTCAACTGGATTCTACTCGTCAGCTTCCTAGGGTTTTGCATGAACATGCGGATTGCTTACAACTTCGGCGTTTGGGTAAGGCCTTCCGACGTGCATGGGAGATTTGCAAAGCTTTGCCTGGTCCCCGGATTCTTCGCACTTGGCACAATTTAAAGCAAATATCACACGATTGTCCTTTCCCGTGGAATCATGAGCTGGAGGTCATTTTCCAAGGTGCTCCCAGTGTGGCAAATGCTGAAGCAGTAGCCACCATTTTGCAAAAGGTTATTGACTATGTGCAGGCTCAGCAAAGTAAGCACCGTCTTAAACTTTGGAAACAGACAATGCGCTGCAGTGCCGGAAAAGCAGCAGCTTGGCGCAAAGCGCGTCAGGCTACACAGGAATCACCGATTTTGCAGCATCAAAAACATTATTCTTATTCTGTCATGAAACTTGCTGGACACCTTACAATGGATCCCTCTCGCCAATTGGACACTCTGATCAAGGCTTGGGACAAAATTTTTGGTCGTTATCGTAGTCAAGCTCCTTCTACCTGGAATTTTATTCAAGAATTTGGGCCAACCATGAAACGGGAGCAATGTGACTTGGATCCTTTGACTGCGAACGACTTGTTACTTACAATGCAATCCTTGCGTCCAAGTGCCGCTGGCTTGGACGGTTGGCGGCCGCAAGATTTGAAACTTTTGGGTCAAACGTGTCCGGTACTATTTCAACATTTGGCTTCCTTGATGAATGTGTGTGAAACTTCTTCTCAATGGCCAACCTCGTGGACTACTGGTTACGTCGCGATGTTGCCTAAGAAAGTTAACTCGGAAGGTCATATAGAGGACCCCATGGACATGCGTCCTATTACTGTTTTGAGCGCGCTGTACAGAAGCTGGAGCCGAACACGGTGCCGTCAACTCAAACCATGGATCCTCAGAGTTCTTCCTGAAGAAGTTTTTGCGCTTCGCAGTGGCCAAGGTGCCGACGATATGGCGATGGACGTCAGCTCTTTACTGGAAAATGCTGAAGTCAACGATGAATGGTGTGCCGGCCTATCGTATGATTTTGCCAAGTGCTACGACCACGTCATTCCTTCCATGGCCATAGATACTCTCTTGTATCGAGGAGCTCCTTTGTCGGTTTTGCAGGGTCTTCGCGCTTTTTACAAACAACACTGTAAGCACTTCAAGCTGGGGTGTGCCTTTAGCGAAGCCTACAAGCCCAGCAATGGCATTATACAAGGTGATCCTTTGAGTAATATTATTTTAGCAAGTTTGGTCGCATGCTGGTTGGAAAAGCTTTCGAATGGCAATTTTGGCATGGCTCAGGTGTCAATCAAACCACGACTGTACGTGGACGATATCAGCGCAACTGTTGTAGCTGCTGACCTCAACAGCCTTCGTGATCACTTGCGACTGACCCATGCTTCCGTTCAGAGATTTGCAGACCTCAGCGGTGGAAGGTTGAACCCGGAGAAATGTTTTACATATGGCGCTTCGCAAGTTCAACATTTGGTCCCTGCAATAACGCATCACAAGGATACATTTCGTCTTGTGGGAGGGAGCATCACTTGTGGTGGGTCTTCTTCCTGGACCCCACTTTTACAGAAGCGGATTGAAGATTGGATGGTTTCAGCGCACAACTGCAGTCTTTTGCCTTTGGGTTGGAAAGACCGTGTCCAAGCTCAGAGGCAATTACTGAGCAAACTGACTTGGGGTCAGGGCACGCATGATTTGCAAATTCCTTCAGCCAGGCTGACCACATTGAGAGCCACCATGACCAGGGCCCTGCTCCGCATTGGTTTTTATAGTTTGACGCCTATGATTCTTTTCACTATCGTTGTTCAGCCATCGCTCGAACCTTTGTTTGCCTTGCAGCTGGCAGCTCTCAGAGCTTTACAACGTTTCTGCAGGCATCACAACAACAGGAATTTCATTTTGCAACACTTGAATGGGGCCTCCTTGCAACAGAGTGGTCCTTTGAAACGAGCTCAGCAACTTCATCTGATCCCATTTACACTGCGGCACTGCAACATATTCTTCTTCATGACTCTTCGGACCGGTCATGGGAACATGGCCTTCGTGCAGTTTGGCGTTCACACCATTGGACTATCATTGCTCGGGCTCGGCCTGCTTTTGAAGGTCTACAGCACGTTGATCGTGCTCTTGCAATTGAACTTTTACAGAAGTGGCACTCTCAAGCCGATGGTTTCCAAAAAGTTTTGGACCACAGTCTCCCGGGTCCACACTTGCAACAAGACCCGCGTCCAAGGAGCAAAATTTTGATCTACATCCTCACTGGAGGTTTGATGTCCCCGTCGCGGGATGATCGCCATCGTTTTCGGCAAAGTGTTCAATGTTCAGTTTGTGGAGTCCCTAACGAAGTGGAACATATACATTGGCATTGCAGAAAATATGCTAATTTGCGAGCTCCCATTCGTTCATTGTTGACTCGAATACTGCGAGCTCCTCCGTTTTTCCAATATGCAGCGCTGCCGACCACCACAATGAATTTTTCGCAGGCACAGGTTTTACAAATTAAGGAAGTTTTGGTCAACATCTGGCAACAACATATTACTGAGTGGCATGACCATGACGTCGACGGATGGGACCCGGATGGAGCGGATCCACAGTTGAGTCCTCATTCTGCTCCGGCTCACACAGGCAACGAAGATCCCTCTGATGACGCTCCTCAGCCCTCAGCCTCTTCGAGCTCACATCCCACAGCAGCGGCGCCCATGGTGGAACAAGACCAAAGGGGCCACCGAATTCGGCATTTCGGTACTGGCGCGTTCTGCGTCAAATGTGGGGTGCAAACATCAAGGCTTGAGCATGTTAACCTCAAAATATTGAAAAAAGTTTGTCCTTATGCCAACTTGCATTCCTCCTCCTGGATGTCCACGCCGGGAAAGCATAGAGCCAAAGCCCGTTTAGACGAAATGGAGGCAAAGTTGCATGAGGTCTACAACCAAAAACCACAACACAAACTATACTGGAACAGGTTGCTTGGCAAAAATTCTTCTGACTTAACAACATATGGGCGCCTCTGGTGCCGACTTTGCGGCAGAACTTTTAATCTTTGTTCGTGAGATTTGTCCTAAAGTTCGTGGGATTCTTCCTTTTTTTCCTATGCTATGATTGAAACATCATGCCTGCGATCAAAAATTGTCAAAAAATTCAGTAGCCTTGAAACAGATTTCGCACCCAACAGAAAGTGAAGGAACAGGAAAGAATTTTCTTTCTCCTTAAATGGAGAAGACTATGCGTTGCATTTTGTCAAGCACGCGCAAGGACTCTAGGGCACACTGCAAGCAATCAAACAACTCACGGTTTTTCAGCAGCTGTGCCAAGAAAGCGCGCAAACCGGGAATCCAACAAATTAGAAAACCTCATAGCTAGTGGGAAACAGGAAGTGATCCATGGGAACATCAGTGGACCCACCATAATGATTAATATTGAAAACACCCACGCATGGCTAGCCACTGTGGGAAGATGAAACATGACTCGGAGGTGGCTAGCCCCTCTGACAATATATATTAACAAAATTTAACAAACATTCGCACGACATGGGCTAACCATTTTGGGAAGACAAAATAATATGACTCGGAGGTGGCTAGCCCCTCTGATAATATTTTCAAGATACACCCACTCATGGCTAGCCATTGTGGGAAACATATAAGGTGGTCCATGCTTGGCAATGAGTTGGTTGTAAATAGACTGCAGGTGGCTAGCCCCTGCACTTTAGAACGTGAACCAAATACAGGCTAGCCGGTTGATTGTTGGAATTTTGTCCCCTGAGTTGAACCCTGATGTGGGCTGAGTCTTACATGGCTATTGGTGTCCCATTGCTTCCTTGTTCAGCCACAAGGTTAATCGGAACCCGTGAGGTGCTTCTTGGTGTGACATTTTCGACACATGTGCAGGTGGCTAGCCCCTGCATTGTTGCACGGTCCTTGGTTGAGATGTTAAATAGAAGAAGCCGGCTAGCCGGCTTGCAACTTTATTTGCAGAACATTGTTGCTTTGTATTCACACACATGGCTGGCCAGTGTGGGGCCCTTTGCATTCTAGCATGTGGCTAGCCCTTGAATCCCCCATCATCGGGTTCATGGTTGCCACCAGCTGCTCATATCTCTTGGTCACCATCATTGTGATCACCTTCCTCATGCACCTCCCCCTTTTCCTCTTCATCAGCATTTCATCATCATCATCGCCATCACCATCACCATCACCATCATCATCACCATCACCATCACCATCACCATCATCATCATCATCATCATCATCAGAATCATCCACCACCCCCACCACCACCACCACCATCATCATCCATCCATATACATCTGCGCATTCTTGGATGGCGAGTCGCCACTGCCGGAGCAAAACAGGCGGACCGACCCCGGCTCCAGTTGGTGACAGCAATCCTCAACGGTATTTCAACGTTTGACCATGTTTATGTCAATATTCGACACATAATTTAAAGACTTTAATCATGCCTATCCATCCAAAACGAACAACCAGTAGATGCCTCGAGCATGATCAAGCAACCGTGTGACATTGGAATCTATCTCATGCTGTGGAGGCTCTCTGGGCCATCCATCGTATTGCGGCTCTTTGGGCCGTGTTGGTGGTTTCTTTGCGGGCTCTGGGCTTTGTTTTGCAGCGGCTCCATGGGCCGTGTTGTTAGTTGTTTGTGGTGTGGAGGCTCCTTGGGCCATCCATTGTAGCGCGGCTCTTGGGGCCGTCTTTGCGGTTGCCTTTCAAGCTCTGGGCCACTGCTCTGTTCAACACTGTGAAGGCTCCATGACAAACTGTCGACTTTGCTCGAGCTACCTAGAGGCCACCGCCTTTTTCTGACACACTCGCTGTCTTCTTGTTTTTCAGTTCTCACACTGATGCCTTGTAGACGCTCTGATGTCATGAAGTTCAAGGTGGAAATTGCGCGGGCCACTTGGCGTGAACAAGACTACTGGTCCCATGGCTTGGAAGTAGTGCGCAACGCTGTGCTTTTCCTCTTGCACGTGTGCGACCGCAGATTCTACGACCTTGCTGTGCGCATGCATTTCGTGCTCACCTATATGCGCTACCATGATACAGACTCAGATTTGAGTGCGGAAAAGGCGGATGAAGAAATGGAAGTGCCTGCCCTGAAAATGGCTCATCGCACTGCCTACTTTGAGGCCCAGCCGTTGAGTCGACGTTTTGCTTTGCTTGATCTTACAAGCCAACAGCTTCGCTGCCATCTGCAGGATGTCTTTGGCGCCATTGCTGAAGTGCACCATGTCTTCCTTCCTGCCGCCAGAGCTCTTCAATCCATGGAGTTTGAAAGGCAATTCAAAGAGTTGGCCGTTTGTTTGGGAGATGTGCTGGCTGCTTGGGCATGTAGCAAAAACTGACCAGAGGCTGAGACAGCAATGCTCAAAGACTTTTTGGAAAAAATGTGGGCGAGTCTACTGCGTTGCTAGTGTGTGACGTGTATGAAACCTGACTGAACAGTTTTTGCATGCATGGCATGTATTCCTGCATGCCCACACATTCTGTCTGGAAGATTCGTTTTCTGGCTCTGGAAATTTTCACCAGGATGTAATTTTTCAAAGCATTCATGTTGATCATTTGGATCGCAGGGCAGAAAACCCAAAACAAACATGCCATTTCCTATCCATGGTATGGGCCACTCTGTATAATGACAGGAGTCTAGTCATGCTGTTTTCTTGTCATACAGCTCTTCGGCCGCCTCCGGCGGAATCTCAATGAATGCTGGGAGCTCGTCTGACTGTGTGCTGGAATTACCTCCCGATGTTGTGTCCAGTGATGCTTCCGAGTCCAGGGAGGCCAGTGAGGAGCTGCCAGACCCAATAGGTGCGCAGTTTGCGTGCTGCAAAAACAAGTGTGTAGACCGGTTCAATGCCGCACAAACAGCTGCAGAGCAAAGACTCAAGAAAGATCTTGAGCCGTTGAACATGGAAGGAAAGAATGCAATCTGGTTTCACCGGCTGCTCAATATGAACAAGGCACAGCCAGAGGGTCAGCGCAGAAAACTCTTTTGGTGGCAAGGGAAAGCAATTTGTCAACAAGCGTTCAGTCGGGTCACGCAATGCTCAGAAAAGAAAATCCGCTACTACCTGAAATGTATCGCTGAAGGAGAGGTATTGCCTCCAAAGGATGGCAGAAAAGTTCCATGCAAGCGATCAGAGCCCAAACGGGAAGATGTGGAAAGTTTCTTTTGTTTTTTGTACGAGCACCTGGCTGAGCCGCTAGCCATTAGTCGCCAGGACCTTGATGAGGATCCGGCTGAAGCAAATGCTTGTGGTGACATTGGCGACTCGATTGTGGACTTGCCTGACTGGCTTTCGAATGATGATGACATGCTCAATAGATTGCCATATATGTTCTCCGGGGACGGGAGCAAGCCACAAATTCAGAAGCGATGGCTTCCCACCATGACATCTGCTCAGCTCCACGACTTGTACAAGGACATCCATGCCGACCATGAAACTTTAGCTTCTTGGACAACTTTCCAACGTGTTTGGGTTCGTTTTCAAAGTGTGATGGGGGTGAGGCCTGTGACCCTTCATAGTCGGTGCGATGACTGTGCCAGATACAGTGCCTCGTTTGACTTTTCAGCATGTTGTCCTGCTGTCACTTTTTCACACGGCCCCTTTTTTTTACAGTGTCACATTTTCATGAAGAAGGATTGAGGTTTGGAAGCAGGAACTAAAAATAACTTGTGTTCATTGAGGTTCACAGCCATCCATTAACCCTATTGTACTTTTGACTAGACTCCACGTGTGAAGATGCAAAACTGCCAGGTCGTTATCGAAAACTTCAAAGCAATCCATCAGATCTGGCTGCCGTCAATCATGCCTACAACAACCATATCCGGGCTGTCTTCCGCGACAGAAGCATCATACAAGGGATGGAGACCATGGCTGAAAACACGAATCGTTTGGAAGATGTGGAGCTGCCACACCTGATGGTCACTATAGATGCTATGGACAAGAGCAAGTGGCTTGTACCGCGAAGTCTGGACTCATCAAAACGCTTGGCAGCTTTGTGGCGACCAGCCTTGCATGTTGTTGGCGTTCTCATAGCTGGAGTACTTGAATATTTTGCCATTGTAGAGCCTGATGTCAAGGCAGACTCCGATTTGCAGCAAACTCTCCTTGCCCGTGCCTTAGACTTGGCAGAGGATGAACTCCGGAAACGAGGCAAAGGCATGCCATGGAAAGTCATTTTCCACAGTGACAATACAAGCAAAGAGGGGCGCAATTCTCAGCTTCTTCTTTTTGCCACTGCGCTGGTGTCCTCACAGCGCTTTGCAGAAGTGTCTTTGGCCATGTTCCGTGTCGGACACACACACACAACAGGCTGGATCAGAGATTCAGTGTGATTGGGTCTTTGCTTGCGCGGGTGAAATGCTTGCAAACACCCGAAGAGTATGTCAGCCATTTGCAAGAGCACTATCGCTCAGCTCGTGGTGTCCCAGTGCTGATCGAGCAAGTTGGCGACAGCTACCTCTGGCGCAATTTTTTTGCACCTTTGGATCGACACTTTGCAGGCGTGACAGGTACTCGGAGCACAGCTGATGCTGCGCATGTGTTCCGAGTTGTCAGGCGTGACATGGTCAGATTGTGTGCTCCCGAAGCCACCTTTCTTGAAGATGATGGTCTTGAGAGTGACCCAGTTCTTTTGGCAAAGCACTGGATTTGTTCCAAGGGCTTGAGTCAGCCTCCAACTGTCTTATTACAAGGTGCATTTCCATTGGATTTTCGCAATCTTCTGCCTTTGCGGGCACCTCGCACAGCTTTGAGCTTCTGGCATCTCCATGGCTCCTCGAGTCTGCAGCTGCTTACATCTTAGCTTGGCTGCAGCGGAACGAAAATGCAGAGCCCAGTGGACAATTGCCTGATATCTCTTTCCTTGTGCAAGGCCGTGATTTTCTGCCAGCAGCGGTCTGTGCTGGAGCTACATGGAAAGATTTTGCTCCTGAAGGAGCGATTCCAGTGCAGCCCATGCCAAAGCAGAAAAAGAACACCAAAAACCAGGCACGAGCTAAAGAGCAGATTCCGCAGTGCAGCCATGTGTCTCGAAGAGCTCAGGCTGTGAAGAACCTCCAAGCAGTACCACAAGAGGACGCTGATGATCCTGGTCAGGTTGAGATGCCAGAAGCACGTATGAAGCGGCCTGCCGCTGCTTCGAAAGGCCGGCCTATGAAGCGTCCGGCAGCGAAACATGAGACCAGGTGATGTTTTGAATGAACTGCTGCGAGAAAACAATTCCTCCTTGCTGTCTGCTGCTGGCGTTTTTTGTTTTGCACACTTCTTTTCATAGCTGGTTGTTATTCAAGTTCAGTTTTTGTTGAGGGTTTTGGCTCTGTTACACAATAGTCACGAAGTCACCTTTGTATCCCAACACTCTGTTTGTCGCACCGTGTCGCTTGGTATGGAAAAAAAGAGGCTTCTCGACCAGGTGCTTGAGGTTCCCGAACAGGGTAGCCCCAAGCCGGAGTTGACTGTCGGCGCTGCCCTAGAACAAGAGCAAGCAGAAATGGAAGCCGAGTCCCTGCTAGGAGCTGAGGACCCTCATCCCAAGGCACTGGACCTGCTTGGTAGAATCCCTGGAGACACAGATGTGCCAAAGGCAAAGGAAACCGTGCCCTTGGAAAAACCTTCAGTGCCAGCTTTGACCCACATGACAGATAGGGCACTGCACAGTGTTGATGAAGCAAGAGTTTCTGAACAAACTGCTCCTCAAACCGCCTCTGCGGCACAGCAAGGTGGTGATGAAGGCGTCGTTCTGACTGACATTACTGAGATACAAGCCGCACCTGGAGCACAGCCTGATGGAGATGAGGCCACCTTTCGTGAACCACATGATCTGCTAGCTACACCTGCGGCAGGGCAAAGTCATTATGAAGCCTCGGTGCCTGGGCAAACCGCTCTTCATAGCACACCTGGCGCGCAGCAAACTTCTCATGTTTTGTTTTTGGGCCAAGTCAATGAAAATATCCTTCAGAATGTGCCTGACACACTGCAGCAAGATGTGCTTGGACAAGGAGTAGCCCATCCTACTGGCACCAGTGGCTCTGATTCTGGAAGGAGTGGATCCTTGGAACGACACGATTTGCCTGTCAGCAGCCTTGGTCCTGTTGCCGAGCCCAATGTTGAGCACGTGGCAAATACTCCTGTCACACAGCAGCAGCAACTGGAAAGGAGCAGAAGCCCAACAGCAGTCCGTCGCCGTCCGGCTGCCGCTCCGCATGTTCGTCGTCGTCCTGCTGCTGCAGTTGCGCCTGGTGCTGCCTTGGGCTGTTCCAAGTGCAGATTCAGTCGGGGAGGCTGTGCTCGTTGCCGTGGCCGATTGCAGGCCTGATTGCAGATTTCGTGACGAGTTCAACCAACAGAGACCAAAAAACAGTTGGCATCTCCTCCACGTGGTTCGGGGGCTCTAGGGGCAAATGTAGCAAAGCTAAACAGAGTATCTTCAACTCGCATTGGCAACATGCTGGTGTTGAAACCACCCGTATACATTTTGCTGATTCCGTCCTTTTTTGAGGTATCTTTTGAAAGGATCATGAACACATTGGCTTGCTGCGGCTCATTGGGCCGTGGAATGCATGTCTGAAAGGCGGCTCTTTGGGCCGTGTCGTTTCTGGCGGCTCTGAGGGCCGTCACGTGTCCATGGCTGGTGACTTCAAGGACAAGAAAATTCAACTTTGGCTTTTCAGAGCGTGTTTTTCGAGTTGGTTAGACCTCACCTTAACGTCCGCCTTGTGTCTCTCTCCATGACTGGCGTGGAATTGCCTCCTGCGGTCAATGATGCAGATGTGTCTGAAAGTGAGGAGGAAAAACCCTTGAACGTTGAAGACCCTGGCAGGGATGCTCACCTCCGCCCCACTGAGCCGGTGCAGTTCATGGAAATCTTTAGCAATCCCAGAATTGCTCCTGAGGTGCGCCGCTTGGGCCAGGCTTGTGGCCCCAGCATTGACTTGGGCACCGGCTGGGACCTTACCAAGAAGGCAGTGCAGCAACGGTTGCTCCAGCTCTTGTATGTGCTGCAGCCCTTGGTGCTTATGCTTTGTCCACCATGCACGGTCTTTTCGTGTGTTCAGAACACCATGCGAGACCGCAGGGCTGATTACAAGAAGTGGGAGAAACAGTATGCGGAAGGCTTGTGTTTGTTCAAATTTGCTTTGCTGATCTTTCGTCTTCAAGTTCAAGCAGGACGCAAAGTGGTGCTCGAACACCCCTGGCGGGCAAGTTCTTGGACGCTGTCTTGCACCCAAAACATCCTTGCTTTGCAAGATGTGTTCCAAACCGTATTTGATCAATGCTTGCTCGGCCTGCGCACCTTGCAAACTGATCAAGCAGTGAGAAAACGTACAGTTTTCATGACCAATTGGACAGGCCTTTGCCCTTCTTTTTCGACACGCTGCACTCCCGCAACCTGCAATCACTTTCCCTCATTCCATGCCCAGTTGCAAGGAGCAGAGGGCGGTATGTCAAGAACCCGTGCCGCGCAGACATATCCTTTGAGGTTTTGCCAAAACTTCGCGCAAAGTGTTTTCCAAGAACACCTGCGCCAGCAAGTGCAGGCGCCAGCTTTGCCACAAGATGTGGAGGAGGTCTCTGAGGATGAAGAGAGCATTTGATCTTTTCACAGTAGAGTTACAAATATCCAGGACTCTGCACAGCCTTGAGTATCTGGATGGTGTTGAGTTTCGCAGCAGGGAGCTGCGAGTCTGAGGGGAAAAATCGTCGGATCTCGCAGCACACATTTCCACGAGAGAGATCGGACCAAAAAAATTTCTTTCGTCGGATCTTGTTGGACAGACGCATGTTTCGTCGGATCGGGTCATTCAAAATCAAGAACATGAGATCGGACCATCCTACCGTCACACACAAGAGATCGGACCGATTTTTTTTTTTTCGTCGGATCTCTCCATTGAGAATCAAAAGGCTATGATCGGATGAAATTTGCATGGAATATTGATTTATATATCCATATTAACTCTATTTCTTTTGGCTTTTCCTTGCAGCACCTTTTTGTTCCCCAGCGGAGGCACCAGAAAGTAGCCTTTGGTAGCATGGCATCTTCAGAGGTCAGTTCTGCCGGAACACCTGTGCCTTGGGAGGTGGCTTTGGCTGATCCAAGTGATGCCAAATTCAAAGATCAGGTCGAACTTGCTGTTCAAGCCTACCAGGAACACGTCTTGGAGAAACATGGTGGCCCCATGCAGTATCTCATTGCTCATCTGCAGAGTTCTGATGCTCAGCCGCGTGAGTCTTTCCTGGCTTGGTTGTGGGCAACCTTTCCTTTGGAAGGGGACAAGCACTACCAGCTGGAGCATCCTTTCCCGGCAGTGACCATGGAGAAGCGGGGAGAAACATTGCCGTGCAAGGCTCACATTGCTATGTTGGGCTTCAATGAGGAGTGCAGTTTAAAACCGCCTCCTTCTGCGCACGCATCTTTGCAACTGGTGCACCATGTCCTCAATGAAGGCTTCCAAACAAGTGGAAAGCCGTTGCTTGTCAAACATGTGGACCAAGGCAGCCTAGTGATGACAAGCCCATGGGCAAGTGAGGCCATGGGTATGCCAGTTGCACCCTTCAGTCTGGGGTATGTGAAGGGCATGCTTCGTGCTTCCACCGCCTTGGCATTGCTGCATATGTTCTGGCACCATGGTCAGGCAGATGCCTTGCTGCAAACCTTCCGGGCTTTGAAAGAGTCATGTTCCACTGTGTATGTGTTCCATATTCAGCTGCCCAGTGTGGAAAGCGAGGTCTTTCAGAACTTCTTGCTGAGCATCCGTGATAGCATCAGCAAACCTCCCAACTTCATTACATGGCTTCATACCCTGCGGCAGTTCAAGCAAAAAGGGTATGAGGACAGCGCAGCCGCGATTTCTCGATTCAACGCCCTTGTTCCCAAGAGCGCATGGCTGGTGGGTGCAAAGGCCAATGCCCTGGGGAATGTCATGGCGCTGTTTCCCAGTTCGCTGATCCAAGATCTGGAAACTCATGTGAGCAAGTGGGGTTGGGAAGGAAGTGCTTTGTCAGACGACTGCCTGTCCACCAAAAAAGTCTTGCCAACACACATGCACAAAGCGCCACACAAGTCATGGAAGCAGTTGTGCAGTATGAGTGAGACGGCCACTGCCCTCACCTTCAAGCGCATCATCCGCGATCATGAGAAGCCTGGCGCTTGTCGCAAGAAGGTGGACAAACAAAAAGTAGAATCCTTGGCTGAAACGGCGGCTTTGCTGGTCAACTTGTCGACCCAAATGATGGAGCAGTTCCCCGTCAAAATGCAGGATGTGGAGACCCACATCTTTGAAGCATGGCTGGATGGAAGTCATGGGTGGGACTTGGAGCTGCATGAAGTGCAGACAGAAAAGCGGGAGAAACTTGCAGTGACTGATGTCAAGATGTTTCGCGATGTCATTGACATGCTCAAGTGCCAGCGTCCTGTGGCTCCTACAAGAAGTTCGGAAATACTTCTCATCCGCTTGGATGAAGACAAGTGGACGTTGATTCTGAAGCAGCTGGAGTATGACTTCCAAGCGTTTCGCGTCTACCTCTCCAAGATGCAGTCTTTTGAGGTGGCAGTGCACCATGCGAAGCTCGAGTGGAACAAGAGGCGTCGTGAAGAAGCTGCGCAATGGTCTACGCAGTGGATGTCCCAGAAGTGCCACATCTTTGCCTATGATCCACAGAGCACTGGGCAATTGAATCGTCTGCTTGCTGAGCATTGCCTGGCTTTGCTGAAAAACAACAGTCTGGAGAAGACAGCCGTTGTGACTTGCCTGGTTAAATTTCGGATGTTTGTCCTAGCTTGTCTGTTCTTCATTCCAATTTCGTGTTGTGTTTGATCATGTTGCTTTTCAGGCTGTTGATTGATATCACAAACACTAAGCTCGAATGCACCAGCTCAGGCCACACTGAGCTACTTGAACTGGTCTGCTCCAGCGTCAAGGTCACAGAGTTCACAGGATGCTGAAGCCACTTGTTTTTGCCAGCTGGTGGCAGAGCAGCCGCAAAACTTTGGGCTGCTGCTTTCCCCCGTCTTCCACTACAAGGTTCACCAACGCCACGCGCTGGAACACTTCTTGTTGAAGACATTGTCTGGCAGAGGAGTGGATGTGGACAGTCAAGCAGTGCTCATGTACAAAGAGCGCAAAGACGCTCGGGACACGAGGCCTTTGCTGTATCCTTTGCGAATTGTGAGACCTTATGTGGACATGGGGCCCACTGAGTTCACACAGGATGAGACAGAGACAGGTCCTGGCAAGCGCAAGGCACGTGTGCATCCAGTGGTGCAATTCTGGCAAGGCGCGCGTTTGCTGAGCACTGGCCGCACCGAGGAAGCAGAGCAGGTTCCAAACACCCAGCTGAAGTTTGTGGAGGACTGCGCAGTGCATACTTTTCCCAAGGTTTTGTCTGCCCACTTGCCAACATTCAATGTGATCCTTTGGGCCCTTTAGTTTGACAACATCCCATGACATAGTATTTCCCGGAATCCTTGATCCCACAATAATATCTGTTTTTTCTTCCATCGCCCTGTGTTTGAAGGATCTGTCGGACACCGCGCTTCCATTGACGACCGATGACTATGCCAGTGTTCGTGGAGGGAAGCGTTTCCAGCAGATTGGTGTTTCTGCAGCCTTGAAGCTGTTGGAGTCTTTGGTGGACAAAGACCTCCCCAATGGCACGCATGCGGTGGTGTTGGTGGACCTCGCTTTGGGCGTCGGAGACATGTTCTGGGCATGGCTGGAAAGGTGCAAGGCTTTGAGGTTTCCACTGTTTTTTCTGGGAGCCACGTCTGACCCCATGACCTTGGAATGGTTTCAGCACCATTGCCTGGAGGAATTGTCAGAGAAACTTCTGTCTGAAGACCTCAAGCTGCCAGGGTTCACTCCGAAGAGCACCGAGCCCCCAGCAGATGTGCTTCTGTCAGCGCCGCCCGTGCCACAGCTGAATCTGTGCACTGTGCGCCCTGGCCCTACCATAGCCATTCCTGAGAAAGTGATCGCAGAATGGTCGACAAACCCAAACCATGGCATTGAGTTTCAGAACCTGCTGAAAGAGATGGTGGAGGAGTTTGGTGAGCCCAAACCAGCAAACCAAACCAAAGCCACAGGGGATGGTCAGCAGGAACCTTCTCCCAAGAAGCGACGCTTGACAGAACCTTTAGAGACTGTGCTTGTGGAGAAAATGCCAGACACTAAACTGGTTGAAGCTGCTGTCAACGGCTTGAAGAAAGACCTGGCTGGTAAGATCACGCTTCGGATTGATGGCAGTCAGGGCTGGTGGCTGGTGAATGTGTCACAGACTTCTTGTACCATTGCGGCAGGCACGGTTGTAGCAGGCTTCGGCACTGGCAACTTCCACCACCAGCCACGCAAGGGCCAAGAGGTAGCGGAGGTGGACAATGAGAAGCTGTTGCTGTGCGACATGTCGGTGGCAGAATCCATCTTGATGAACGGCAAGCTGGAAAACCTGTCCGAGGTTCTTCATGCCAAGGAGCTGCAGAAAGGAAAGGCGGAGATTTGTTACCATGCAGTCACACAGAAGGCCGGTGACATGAAAGCCTTCGACATTGTGCGCCAGGTGGAGGTCTATTTCAAACCGAATCCCAAAGTCCAAGGTCAAGTGGAAGATGGAGGCGAGATCAAATTGAACAAGGGCACTGGCTCTTTTGCAGCTCTGGTGCCGTTCTCTTCCTTCCAGGCCTTCAAACACGCGGCTGTGATTTGGTCCATGCGGTGGTCCCCAAAAGGCTTGATGCCAATCAAGCCTCAGATCTGCTTGCGTGGTGACTTGGTCTTGGATGGCCAAACGGCGGTGAAGCTTTGAAGCAATGATGGCCTGAGTCTACTAGCGGTCGCTTCCGAAGCCTGACTCTGAGGAGTCCATTTCGTGGGAATCCCTGGGCTGATCCCAGGATGCTGTCCAAAAGACACGGTGGGAGGGGCCGCTGTGTTTCGAAACCTCACGACTGGTGATTTTGGAGCGTGGTCAAAAAAAGCACCTCCTCAAGCGTCTGCCGTGTGTGCAAGCCGGTCAGACTTTGACAGTCTCTCCTAATGACTACTGGTGCCTCTGCCTGTCCTTGTTTTGGGTCATGTGTTGTGATGGTTGGTCAGTTGGTCTTGTGGTGGCGGTTGCTGCGGCTCACTGGGCCGTGGTTGGTTGGTCTTCCAGGTTTGGCGGCTCTTTGGGCCGTCATCTGTTGTGATGGTTGGTTGCTTCTACTGGGTTGCTGCGGCTCACTGGGCCGTGCGTGAGTTGCAGCGGCTTCTTGGGCCGTGCTTGCTCTTGAAAGCCTGGCGGCTCTTTGGGCTGCATAGACGAACAAGCATGTCATGCAGCCCTTTGTTCAGGGGTGTGCAACGGCTTAGCCACACTGGAAAACAAACAAAACAAAACACTTGCAACTCTGAGGTCTAACACTTTCCCCAGTCCTCCATAAACGGTGACCGCCATGAAACTTACAAGAAGCATGCCTCAGTCATACTTATTGGCTGCTGCATACAGCCGTAAAAAGACTGCTAGATCTTTACAGAACTTGAAACCAACACACAATACTTGTGGTGACAATACTTGCGGTGACACAATACTTCTGGTGACGCCATGGAGCTGCCTCTCAAGGAATCGTTGCAGACTGAAGGATCTAGCGCAACGCCCTGTGTGCATATAAACATACCAGACGATGCGAAGCTGAAAAGGCTTGGCTGGGCAACAAATTGTTTGGTCGTTTTTTGGGTCTTGCTGTCCTTGTTTCTAACACTTCATGTTTGGTCTTGCTTTTGTGTCTACTTGTGTTTTTTTTGGTTGACCCTTTTTTGTTTGCTTTTCTTGGCTGTGTTTTTTTTGTCGCAACCCTTTCACATTTCATTGCCCTGGAAATCTCAAGCTCGATGTCACATGCCCTGGCAGGGAGTCGGATGTGCTACTGGACCGCCTCATGGAGTTCTCAGGTTCCGCAGCCAGCGCCTCGAGTGGTGTCGAAGCCAACTGCACTTCGTCAAGTGGTGTCGAGGCCAAATGCACTTCGTCTTCTTCCAGAAACCTGCCCATGGATGAGCACGATGATGATGACAATATCACCATCTTCTCGGAGTCTGAGACAGAAGAAAGCACAGACCTGGAAGCTGAGAAACTCAGACCGCACTACAAGAAGATCGAGGAGATGGGCCTACCTGCACCACCGAGACCTCCTAAACATCCACCTGTCTATGCATCGAACCGCTTGCGCCTGAGGATAGAACGTAACAAGATCAAGAAGCGGTCCGCGAAGTGCCAAAAGGCACGCGAAGCACGCAGCCGCAAGGGTGGCAAGGGGTCGTGAAAAAGGCAGCATGTTCCAGACTTTTTGCTTGTCAGCCTCAGTGTTGTCAGATGTTAGATGTCCACTCTTCTCCTTAGTTTTGAAGTGAAAGTGGTGTTGTGCTTGTTACTGTTGCGGCGGCTCAATGGGCCGTGCTTAGCTACCTTTGCGGCGGCTCTTTGGGCCGTTTTTGTGAGGCATGCTTAGCTACTGTTGTGGCGGCTCTTTGGGCCGTTTTTGTGAAGCATGACCAGAAGGTTGCATCCTGAGAGGTCTTCATGTTTGCGATGTGTGGGCAGTAGCGTTTGTTGTTCTATGCCAGCAATTGCAAACGAAACTATGTCTAACCAGCATTGCAATATTCAGTATCACCACCAAACCGCAAGCACACAGGGCAGCTTGATCGTCAGAATTGCAAGACACCACTACACATGCGAAAACACAGGGCACTTGTGACACACCTAATCCCATGCAATTTCACAAGTGATGAATTTTTTCAAACTTGAAGTCCTGAAGTTTTTGGGTGCTTCATGTGGCAATGGCCAATCAAATGGAACAAGCAGCTTCGCATGTGGTGACTGTGTCACAAGAACTGGTGGGACCTTTGCAGGAAACCAACACTTTGACTGCAGCAGACTTGACTCGTATCCGAGCTGCCACTGGGTGCACAGTGGGCTTGCGTAGTCGTGGAAGAGGACCCAGGGTGTTGACAGTCAAAGGTGAAGCACGATGGGTAGATGTTGCCAGACGCATGGCCTTGAGCGGCTGCACTGCGCAAGCTTGTACTTCACGAATGAGCGCTTTACCAATGAGATCAGATGCTGCTTAACTGATGGTGAAGTTTGTAAAGTGCTTGCTGAACTCTAAAGGGTGTTAGTAAGCGGCCATGTTTCATGCTGTTTGTTTAGTGGCTTCGAAGAAATTGTATAAATTGCTGTGATTCACCGCGCCCAGGCTGCCTCCAGTATCGATGACAGCTCAGCTCCTCCTGCCACACGCTTGAGGGGTCTGCTTTCTGGCTACCTGATGACTGCCGAAGTCTTTGGTACTAATGTGAATAGCAGATGCGGGCGCTTCATCAGCTATGCAGACTATGTTCATCATCTGGATTGCTCGGTCTTGAGGGAGGTACAAATTCAACAGATTGTCCACACTGGCCATCACACAGACTTCCTGCGTCAAGTGGCCTACAGCCAGGAGTTTGCCAATCTGATGTCAAACTTTTTGACTTCGGTACAAAGGCTGCCCAGGCGGGAACACCTTGTTGGTATCAGCAGTGCACATGGGCAGCACCGATCGGTAAGTGCTGCATTGCTCCTGCAATATGTGTTTCAGCAACTGGGTGCTCGATGGACTAACCGTTTCTTGGAAGAGCGAAGTGGAGGCTGGCGTGAGCTTTGCCATGGGTGTCCTCGATGTGACGACAACAGTGAAGATGATGAGATCAAACGTTTCGTGCTGCAAAGGGCACAGCGACTCCTTACTGCAACCTGAAAAATGTGCAACTAGGCTGCAGCAGCGCCGCGGCCAAACGCCAGTTCCCATGCCAGGCCCAATGCCTTCTTGTCAACCTACCCAAGCAAGAATGTCATGCTTGTACTGACTATTCCAGGTATACAAGAGTATCCGTTTATTACACAGCCTGCCTGGATGATGATGCTGATGATGATGATGATGATGACGACGACGGTGGTGATGATGACGATGGTGGTGGTGATGGCGATGGTGGTGGTGATGGCGATGGTGATAGTGATGGTGACGATGATGATGCTGATGCTGACGATGATGATGGTGATGATGGTGATGATGATGATGATGACGATGACGATGACCTGCGAATAGGACCAGTGTCTCATAGGTTTCGGTCAGTTGTGTGGTTTTGCATTGTCAAAGGATGCCATGGGACAGTAATACACAAGCGCCACTTCCAACATGACAGCCCACTTTTGGGGTTCAACTCAGATGAAAAAAATCCAACAAGCAACCGGCTAGCCTGTACTTGGTTCATGTTCTAAAGTGCAGGGGCTAGCCACCTGCAGTATATTTACAACCAACCCATTGCCAAGCATGGATCACTTATATGTTTCCCACAATGGCTAGCCATGTGGGTGTATCTTCAAAAAATGTTAGAGGGCTAGCCACCTCCGAGTCATATTATTTTGTCTTCCCAAAATGGTTAGCCCATGTCGTGTGAATGTTTGTTAAATTTTGTTAATATATATTATCAGAGGGGCTAGCCACCTCCGAGTCATGTTTCATCTTCCCACAATGGCTAGCCATGTGTGGGTGTTTTCAATATTAATCATTATGGTGGGTCCACTGATTTTCCCATGGATCCCTTCAAATTTCAGCAGAGGAAAAAAAAGGAAGAATCCCATGAACTTTCGGACAAATCTCATGAACAAAGATTTTTTTGGTGGCAGTATCGCCACAATAATCTTCCCAAGACTCGTTGCGTGCCACTCAATCCTCCCCCGGCACCACCCGATTAGGTACCGGCAGAGCAAAGTGCAATAAATGAAGCAGCAAGTTCTACGACAAATGCAGAATCATCTAGGCCAAGGAGACGATTGCTACGCAAAACAGCGGTTGCATCCACATGACTTTTCGTCTCACAGCTGGTGGATCGAAGCCTTTTTCCTTTGCATGATTTACGTTTGCGTTTCACCCTTTCAACTTTTCATCCTGAGACCAACCTTTTTATTCAGCAGATGACTTGCCGTGCGCTACGAGCAGAGCCTCTGCCTGGATATGAGCGGATATACAGCAGTTGTTCCGTTCAGACACGTCCACTCTACTTCCTTGATCCAGAGGAGTTCGAAGGAAAGTCGGCCAAGTCTGTGAAGCAGTGCTTGGCGGCCAAGTTTGGCGTCACTAGATTTAAGCAAAAGCTGCTGGAAGAGGGCTCAGATGGCTGGAGATCTCAGAAGATGAGCCAGGCTTTTGTCAAGGTTCAGCTGGTGATTCTGGACTTTTGGCCGCCTGATAAGCAGCAAGACCAACCAACAAATGGTCTCTGCATCAAGAGAGAACAATTTGGTTGCAATTGAAGAGTTGTTGCAGCGGCTACGAACTCCCAACGTGACAGATGACACTCGCAGAAGTCCGCTGCACCATGCAGCCGTGAATGGTCATGCGACACCGTTGCAGCTATTGCTTGAGGCAGGTGCAGACAACGATGCGGCATACGTAGATGATTTTACACCTTTGCATCTTGCAGCTTTGCAAGGCCATCTTGACATTGTCCGCCTTCTGGTTGAAGTTGGAGCCAACAAGGATCAGCGTACCGCTGAACGGAGGTGGACGCCTTTGCATTTTGCAGCTCAGGGAGGGTGTCTTGACGTTGTCCGCTTCTTGCTTGAAGTTGGTGTTGACAAGGATCGGCCATGGTCTTCTGCTGGGTTGGGCCCGTCGGGCCCAACAGGCGGGGCCCGTTGGGCCCGACGACAATTTGGGGCAGTCGGGCAGTCCTGCTGTATGAGGTTCTTGGAAGGGGATCTTGTAGGGATCCGGTCGAGATCCTCGAAGATTCCTCCTTTTGTTGCCGTCCTTGCGAGGAGATCTTGTGGATATCCTAGTGAAATCCTCTGTTGTAGAGGTGTTTGTGAGGAGATCTTGCGCACATCCTGCTGGAATCCTCTAAAAGATATTTGCGCGAAGATCTAGAAGGTGCTTGTATGAAAGTTTGCAAGGGAAGCCTTCAAGAGGTTCTTGTACAAAGATCTTGTCAGATCCCCTCTATCAGGTCCTTCTTTGACGACTGTGTGAAATTCTCATTGAGGTCCTGGCTTGAGGTCCTGGAGTTTTTGTTCACAGATGTTTTCCTCAGCGCTGTTAGGGCCTTTTTGCCAAGCTATGGGTCAAAGAACAAACATGCGCCATTTGGCCCACTAGCACAACACATCATGTTTCCCATGGGGAGCAGGACATCTAAAAATGTTTGACCCATACCATCCCATATTCATTTGAGCAGGGCTGGAAAGCTTTAGCTAATCCCTTTTCATGGGCTGATTTTTGGAAATGGATAATGATATATAATCCTCGATATCTAGGGATATGTGAGATAAAGCCGTCACAAAAGGATGAAGCGAAGAACGGGATTTTTTTGTGGCCGCTGTCTAGGAATGAATCGCAGAATCTGCAAACGGCACCGCTTGACAAATCATACCCCGAGTGGATCCGAAGGATTTTGTTTCACCGGTTGGTAGTCAACAGCTGGTGCCGAACTAATCAACATCTGGTGGAATAATATCTGTAACCAAATGAAGAACAGAAAGCATGTGCATTAGTTTTATTTAGCCATGGATGACTGAAGCAGGAAAGCGACGAAAATTGGAAACATGATCCCAATGGCGTGCTGGGATCATACATTTTTTTTCATCTACAACCAGATGTAATTAGGTATAAGATATACATAAAGAACAATCACTCAATAAATAAATATTTATGTGTGTATACGCATTAGAAAGATACAAGATGCATACATTTATGTATATATACATATGTTGAAATACGGCTAATGCCTGGGTTTAGCCTGGCAGGGCAATGACGATGGGCAACTAAGCGTCATCATCATCATCCTCATCATCATCATCATCCCTTGTTGATCTTTCCAGTCGAAAGCAAAAGCAAACGAGAGTGGGATTTTTTATATTCCTAATACCTGTGGTGATCTTCCCACTTGAATCTAAAAGTTCAAGCAGGGTGGACAATTATGTTTCTACAAGGAGCCCCCCCAAGTTATGTTGAAGTTATGCATGTTATAAATTAAGTTAAGGAAGTTATGTTGAAGTTATGTTAAGTTAAGTTAAGGGTGGATATAAGTAAGTTATAACTTTGCTATTTTCTTTGTATCTTTTTAGTTTTGCATTTTTTCATTTCGAGGAAAAACGTTGTTTTTAGTTTTTTTTCGTGGAGTTGTCAAATTGCAGCGATTTCATCTCTTTTTTCCGCTTGGCCAGCACGGCAACGGTCAAAGTTGCTAATTGGATGCACTCATGGCAAACATTGCACGTGCACGTGCATATGAATTTCCCTCCGCACAGACCGCCAGGAGTGAAAAAAAGGAGGGAAAAAATTACAGCAGCGAGCCGTTCGACTGCGCACCCAAAACTCCTGCTTGAGACTGCAAAAGTTGCGCAAAATCTTGTTCCTTTTTCTATAGTCTTCAGTGTTTGTGGCAAAATACATTGGTACATTTGCTTCCGGGGCTTGCAAAGTACAATGCACATACGCGTTTCCTTGTCTCTACAGGAATATACATACGAGTTTTTGGGTTTTCTTTTGCTTTGAAAGCAACATACATACGCGTTTTTTTTTTGCGATGTTATCTCGTGTGAAAAAATACAAAAAAATACATTAAAAATACATTCCCGATATAGCATATCAATCAAGAAAAATACGAGGATAGATGTGAAAATACATATGCGTTGCATGATTCGTCTGGGCAAATACATACGTATCTTTTATTTTTCCCTTTGATTTTCAGAATGCACATACGCGTTTTGTCATATTCCTTGCTAACCTTACTCCCTTGACCTACAGAGCATTTTTTTTTACTCCGAAGCTGTCTCTCGGAGCTCCCTTGCAAGATGTTCCAAACGTCTTGGGTCAAATACAGCGGAAAGCGTGCCCACTGTTGCATTTGAGCCCGAGGCTGCTCAGAAGCAGCTATTTGAGCCCGAGGCTGCTCAGAAGCAGCTTGAAGCAGACCCGCCCCTTGCATGGCCAAAAAAACCCAAAAACCCGAAGAGCTCGCCAAAACTGAGAAGAAACGCTAAATTTGAACCAAACGCCGCAAAAGATCCCAAAATGAAGCAAAAATGGCAAACCGAGCTAACTTTCAAAAGTTGAAACTAAAAAAGTTAATTTTGCTAACTTTTTTGTATCTGTTTAGTATCTTTCCACTTAAAAGATACAAGTTACCTTATAAGTTCATAACTAAGATATAAGTTTAACATAAGTTATGGAATTTATAACATGAGATAACCCTAGTTATAACATATGTTAACCCTGGTTATAAGTCAAGTTATAAGTAGGGGGTGCTCCTTGTAAGGGAGCTTTTATTCTAAATACCTACCGGTGATCTTCCCAATTGAATGTAAAATTCACAGGCGGGGAACTTATATGCCAAATAATTACCCTTGTTGATTTGCCTGCTTGAATGTAAAGTTGAACAGAGATGCGATTCTAAATTCCTAATACCTTTGTTGATTTTCCCCATTGAATATTAAGTTAGCCGGGGGTGGGAATCTATATTCCCAGTACCGTTGTTGATCTTCCCAATTGAATGTAAAGTGTAACGCCAGCACCAGACGGGATGATGGGTTCATTCAGCGCCACAGCCTCTCGAGCCCGTCGAGCCCGTCGGGCCCGTTGGGCCCGTCGGGCCCGTTGAGCCCGTGAAGCAGGCCCGTTGGAGCCCGTTGAGCCCGAACCTAGGAAAGGACTATTCTCCAAGGATCAAAGCACGAGAGCGGGATCAACATCGTTGCGAATTGCATCTCTGCACGGCCGTTTGGACATTGTGCGCTTCCTGGTTGGGCTGGGGCCAATAATGGGGATCAAGCCAGAGAAAAAGATACAACACCACCGCATATTACAGCTGAAGCGGGCCATTCTGAAATTGTACGTTTTCTGGTTGCAGCTGGTGCTGCAAAAGACAAGGCGAATGATTATTGGATCCAAATGGATATCTTGACACTGTCCGTGTGCTGGTCGAAGCTGGGGCCAACAAGAATCAGGTGACGAAAATTGGCGTAGCACCATTGCACATCGCGGCCGCTGGAGGATATTTGGAGGTGGTTCGGGCATTGATTGAGTCTGGTGCGGACGTCGATCTAATCACGAAGGATGAACGAACGGCTTGGGATTTGGCGTCTATGAATGGCCATCAGGAGGTGGTTCACGAACTTGGGGCCAAACGTCCCATGATGTCAATGATGTCCCATGCCACGATGTGCAGAGTCACATGAGTCACCATGAGTACATCATGGTTCAAGGAAACCTAGACTGCGCGCCGTGCTAGATTTAGGGAAACATATGGAAACATTGCACTTCTGGAACTGATCAAGAGACTATGCTTCCTATCTTTCAGGGTCCTTAGTGGAGTTTTTAAGGGCATGATTGCGCGATTTTCAGGGTTTATGGATGTGTTTTGGGAGGTTGTGCCCTCTTCCACTTGCGGAGATTGAAACGTCTAACAGTTTTGTTTTGCCATCCATAAAGCGTAGAATTGCTGTATAGAACCAGATTTGGATGGGCCCTGAAGTAAGGCCGCAGTCCGTGCGCTTGGTGGGTGTAGACCCTTTTGTCTATGATGTACCAGTACCTTGTCAGCAGAGTAGATTTTCTGGGGAAGGTTTGATCAAGTTTCTATGAACTCAAGTTGCTGCATTGTTGGCTTCGACTGTCACCTCCATGAGTAGACACGCGCCATGTAGTAGCACTGGAATCACAACTGGCCATCAGACATAGTCCTGGATGAGGGTCGAGAGACATGATGGGTAGTCAGTCCTTTGCCCTTCTCAGCAAGGAAGATGATTTGTCGACTTGGGAGAAGGCTGTGGTCGGATATGTTTGGATAATGTTGGATATTGTCGGATATATATGGCTGGTCAATGGCATTGCGGGCGCCCACGAGGAAAATTAACTGAAAACCGCCACTCGCCCCACGCGCCTGACTCGCTCTACTTGCCCTGCACTAGGAAATTAATTGAAATCCGCCATTCGCCCCACTCGCCCCACTCGCCCCACTCGCCCCACTCGCCCCACTCCACCCCACTCCACCACTCCACCCACTCCACCCACTCCACCCACTCCACCCGCCGGAACATGGGGGGTAGCAGAGCAAGCGGGGCAAGCGGGAGCAAGCGGAGCAAGCGGGGCAAGCGGAGCAAGTGGGTGGGGCGCAGGGCAAGCGGAGCAAGCGGGGCAAGTGGGGCAAGCGGGGCAAGCGGAGCAAGCGGGGCAAGCGGAGCAAGCGGGGAGCAAGTGTGGCAAGCGGGGCAAGCTGAGCAAGCGGAGGAAGCGGAGCAAGCGGGGCAAGCGGGTCAAGTGGGGCAAGCGGAGCAAGCGGGGCAAGCGGAGCAAGCGGAGTAAGCGGAGCAAGCGGGGCAAGCGGGGCAAGTGGGGCAAAGCGGGGCAAGCGGGGCAAGCGGGGCGGAGCAGCGGGGCAAGCGGGGCAAGCAAGCGGGGCGGGGCAAGCGGGGCAAGCGGGGCAAGTGGGGTAGTAAGCGGGGGCAAGGGGCAAGCGGGGGCAAGCGGGGGAAGCGGGGCAAGCGGGGCAAGCGGGGCAAGTGGCAGAAAACACTTCACACTGTAATGTTGGATATATGGCTGGTCAGCGAAAGTCAGACATCTTTCATTGCGGTACATGTGAAATATAGACAGCATTGAAGAGTTCCAAGTTTGAGGGTTGCCAAGCTCGTGCCAGTGTGCGCTCCAAACAAATCATGAGGACCGTATTCTGCTAGGATGCCGTCAGTATCCAAATGCATGAGGCATCTTTCAAAGTATTGGAAAGGATGAGGTGCACTGGTGCACCTGAAAACTCAAAGAAATATTGCCAGGACCAGCGAAAGATGCTATCAATGCGCTATGATGCTGACTGGCTAGAAGGCGTGAGGCCTAGTTAATTCCAATCTCGGGCTTTTCAATCCCCCATGTTGTTGACATCAAAAGCACCTGCCAGCAATGCGACATGCAACATGCTGGCCGAGAGAGGCATTGCCAAAGCTGCTGAAGCCATTTACGCCAATGCCAATGCAGCCGACAGAGCTGGTACAGCTGGTGCGGCTGGTGCCTCAATGCCGCGGGGCCAGTTGTGGAAGATGACATCTCTGGAGGCACTGCTGGTGGATGGATGTGGATGGCGAGTCGTCGAACCACAAGCTATCACAAACTGTTGTGATTTTGCTGTGGCTTTCCTGTGGTTTCCCGTGGTTTCCCGTTGTTCTGCGGACTTTCATTCCATCCAGCTGCCCAGCTGCCCAGCTGCAAGGCTGCCAAGCGCTTTTCCAACAGTGATCATAGTGATCTACCGGCAGATCTCGTTTTCATTGATTCCGATCATTCTGAGGCACTGCGTACGTGCCACCATTCACCAGCCATGCCCAGTGTTTTTCAGCGGGCAGACACGTGGTTGTTGTATTTTGTGGTGTGTATTGTGGTGCCTTAGCTTATGTTATGATTTTCCAGGCAGCAGTTTCCAAAGACATCGCTGCATGGCTCAGGCGCAGTGATGTGTATCAGTCATGTGTTGAGAGCAGAAATCTTTCTGCGCCAATAATCTCGTCACCCTAATACTAAACGTCCCCCCAAATAATAAACACTTCAGGTAGTTTTTATTATTAGGTTGGTATTTATTATTAGGGAACCCTAGTAATAAATGAAACACCTTTAAATAAGTTTTCGATTTCAAAATCAATTCAATTTTCTTTTATAACGCAATTAAAATATTGCCAAAAATTGGATTTCGAAGCGGGCCCTATTAAATTTATTACCTTAATATGTTTTTCGATTTCAAAATCATTTCAGTTTCCTTTTCTAACGCAATTACAATATTGCCAAAAATTGGATTTCAAAGCTTCCCCCTAATATTCTAGCCCTAATATAAAAAACTAAAAATTTCACGGGCCCTAATAATAAACACCCCGGGGTTAACTAGTTTTTTATTAGTAGGGGGCGAAACCCACAAATGGTGGCTTTATTTTTAAATTGCTTTTAAAGGGGTTCAATTACAAGTCAAATTGGCCAACCTGAAATTTCCCAAAATTGGAGATGGACCCTAGTTTTTATTATTTGGGGGGTTTAGTAATAGGGGGAAGGGATTAGTTTGAAGATCTCAAGATGCACAATCGTTGCTGGACTGCTCGTTTATCTTGATCCACTACGTGACAACTTGCTTGATATCACACAAGAGCTGTTGATTTCAAGAAGGGTTTTGTGGTGAAGCCCGGTCCTGAGGGTACTTTCGAGGGGTCGTGGACGCCGAATTCTTTCAGGGCATGATTTTACTCTGATGCATGGGGACCTAGTGATGAGCGTGAGGATTGAGGATTGATTTTACATGATCTTACCTGTTACGCAATGCGTTTTTTTTCGTCCACCTGCGTTTGCAATTCTTTTTGCTGGTGAATCATGAAACAAAGTGGTATTGACTGACAGTTTTGTGGCCTGGGTTTTTGAAAATGCTAGATGTTGTTCTGCTTCTTTTCCGTCTCTCGCAACAGAGCTTTCTGTATGTCTGATTGTTTCCCACCTGCCAGGTGAGGGTTGTTAGATTTTATCAGAGCGCTCTTCCTCCGCCTCATCTTCCTCCTCCTCGTCCTCCTCCTCCTCCTCGACTAGCTGTCCTCTTCCTCCTCGTCCTCCTCCTCCTCGCCTCCTCCTTCAGTTTCTCCTCGGCCATGTCTGCATCAACTTCCACCTGCACTTCCGCCTTGCCAACTCTTCGCCAAGCTCTTGGACAACTCTCTTCGCCGACTCTCTGCGCCAAGCTCTTTGCCGACTTCCCAGCTCAGTGTGCACTGCTGGACCTCAACCTGGGAGCTGCCCAGCTCAGTGTGCACCGCTGGACCTCAACCGGGGACCTGGCCAGCTCAGTGTGCACCGCTGGACCTCAACCGGGGACCTGCCCAGCTCAGTGTGCACCGCTGGACCTCAACCGGGGACCTGCCCAGCTCAGTGTGCACGGCTGGACCTCAACCGGGGACCTGCCCAGCTCAGTGTGCACCGCTGGACCTCAACCGGGGACCTGCCCAGCTCAGTGTGCACCGCTGGACCTCAACCTGGGACCTGCCCAGCTCAGTGTGCACCGCTGGACCTCAACGGCCAGATAGAATGCCAGAAGATATGCCAGATGGAATGTCAGATAGAATGCCAGAAGGTATGCCAGAAGATATGCCAGATAGAATGCCAGAAGATATGCCAGATAGAATGCCAGAAGGTATGCCAGATAGAATGCCAGATAAAATGTCAGATAGAATGCCAGAAGGTATGCCAGATAAAGTGCCAGAATGTTCGCCAGATAGAATGCCAGAAGATTTGCCAGATAATATGCCAGATAGAATGCCAGATAGAATGCCGCAAGATATGCCAGAACATATGCCAGAAGATATGCCAGGTAGAATGCCAGAAGATATGCCAGATAGAATGCCAGATAGAATGCCAGAAGGTATGCCAGATAAAGTGCCAGAATGTTTGCCAGATAGAATGCCAGAAGATTTGCCAAATAATATGCCAGAAGATATGCCAGATAGAATGCCAGAAGATATGCCAGATAGAATGTCAGATAGAATGCCAGAAGATATGCCAGATAGAATGCCAGAAGGTATGCCAGATAGAATGCCAGAAGATATGCCAGATAGAATGCCAGAAGATTTGCCAGTACCGTAACAAAATGTATAAATGTCATGGTGGGGATCACACGAAGTAAAGTAATTGATTTTACGTACAGAGCAGATATTGAAGTCATTTTATGTCAGCAAGTGTTGGCATGTGATCCAATTTTGGCCCTTTTCAACCGTCCTTGCCCACAGCTTAGCTTGGCTCAATTTTCAATCGCTGTCCTGCTCGCCTTTACTCATGGCGCGCCGTCAGAAGAGGCTTTTCCTTTGCGCAACTTGGTTGTTACATTCTGAAGCTGTGGGCCGGATATGCTTTTGGGCACCTTCTGGGTTGATGCTTGAGCTGTAGTTGACAATTGAACCAAGCACTGCGGGCATTTATCAGATCTGTGATTCCTTCCTATATTGGGAGATTTCTCGGAATTCGCACGTTTGACTGAATGTCAACAGATCCATGTTCGGCCTTCCTGATCAGCAAGACTGAGTCCAGGGATCCAAGCGCCAACATGCTAACCTTGCACATCAGTGTGGCGTGTTTGGCGTGTTCTGCTAATTTAATCGTTTTGGCAGATTTTGGTATGATTCACAAGCGGGTAGGTCCCTGTCAAAATCATTGCAGGCCGAAAACTGAAAGGATCCTGACTCAGATACATGTTATGCCATGTTATGCCATGTTATACCATGTTATGCTATGTTATACTTACGTATGAATTCTTTCGTCTAAGGAAAGTCTTAATAACTAGTAACAGATGTAACAGGCATGGTTGATGCATTCTGCGAGCTTATAGCCTCCTTAAACTTTCCTTGGTTGGTTTGTTTTTTCCTTGGATTTTCTTGGCCGGCCTTTGTTTCTGCCTTGGAAACCAAACAAAACCAAAGGAAAACACGGTGGGCCAGAGAACCCAAAAGCAATACGGCACACAGCACGCCTGTTTTGGAAAATCTTGTGGTGTGGGCAGCTGTGCTCGAAATCGACGTAAGATCTTTATTGAAACATCGTGCGCGCTGAGAGGGGCGGCAATTCACCACAGCATGCTGCGTCAGCTACGTCTGCATTCTTCTAGTCGCTATTTCTGCTACTGTAATTAACTCTATCCCATCTTTCTAGTCGCTATTTATTCCTGGGTTCTCGTTTAGTTTGCTTCGCCGCAGAGGGAGCGAGGACGAAGCGTGGACGGACAGAACACCGTGCGAAATGAAAACTAAACGACGGAGGGAGTTAACGAAAAGAGCATGAAAACGAAGATATGAAGATGACAGATGGTGACTGATCATGACTGCAAAATGAGACATGATGAAAGATGGGTAAAGACTCATCTGCACAAAGCTTCTAATTCTGCGTAAAAGCTACTGTGTGTAAACGCGTCTGTGCGTACAAGTTTCTTTATGTAAAAGTTCCTCTGTGTAAAGGTTTTTTTTGTGCAACAACTTCTGTGTATAAAAGACTTCTCTGTGTCAAAGCCTCTGAGTGTATATAAATACAAGCTTCTCTGTGTAAAAATTCCTCTCTGTAAAAGCTCCTCTGTGAAAAAGCTGCTCTGTGCAAAAGGCTTCTTAAAAACTTGTGTGTGTGCAAGCTTCTCTGTCAAGACTTGTTTGTGTGAAGATTTCTGTGTAAAAACTACTCTGTGTAAAAGCTTCTGTGTGTAAAAGCTTCCTTGTGTAAACGCCTCCGTGTGGAAAGACTCCTCTGTGTAAACCCGTCTGTGTGTAAAAGCTCCTCTGTGTAAAGGCTTTGTTTGTGTAAAAGATTGTAAAAGCTTTTGTCTGTAAAAGCTGCTGTGCGTAAAAGTTTCTGTGTGTAAAAGCTTCTGTGTATAAAAAACTGTGTGTAAAAGCTTCTGTCTATAAAAGCTCCCCCGTGTGTACATGCTTCGCTGCGTAAAAGCTGCTCTATGTAAAAGTTCTGTGCACCGTAAAGGTGTTTGTTTGTAAAACCTTCTGTGTGTGTGAACGCGCCTGTGTGCACAAGATTCTGTGTGCAAAAGGTTCTGTGCATAAAAGGCTTCTGTGTGCAAAAGCTCCTCTGTGTAAAGGCTTCTCTGTGTAAACGCGTCTGTGCGTAAAAGCTCCTCTGTGTAAGACTTCTCGGTGTAAAAAGCTTCTGTGTGTAAAAGCTTCTGTGTGTAAGTCTCCTTTGTGTAAGGACTTCTCTGTGTAAAAGCTCCTCTGTGCCAAGACTTCTCTGTATAAAAGGCATCTCTCTGTAAAAGCCTCTGTCTGTACAGGCTTCTCTGTGACAAGACTTCTCTGTGAAAAGACTTCTCTGTGTAAAAGCTACTCTGTGCAAAAAAGCTTCTGTGCGTGAAGGCTTCTGTGTGTAAACACGTCCTTGTGTCAAGACTCCTCCGTGTAAACGCGTCTGTGTGTCGAAGCTCCTCTGTGTGTACAAGCTTCTCGCTCGCTCGCTCGCTCCGCCCATCGCCACCATCTCCATGGCAGCGGGCAGCACAAGGACATGGAAGGATGCACGAAGGGTCCGAAGGGGTAACAGAGTCGAAAGAAAACGTGAAAACAAAAGGAAGGGCATCAGAGAAAGTATTTATGAAATTAGCCTCAGGCAGGTAGAACAAAACTAAAGACCAACACATTGTCCCAGGGATCAACATTGGTGTATTGTTGTGGTTGTTGTATGTAATGTAGGCGATCCTTACATGCCACCAAAAGGGTGAAACATCCACGGAATGGGTACTGTCTGTACAAAAGGTCTGCTCATGGGCTCGAACTCTAAGACCTGTATAGGTAAGGTGCTGATTACAGGATTGTCATTGACCGGCCCCGCAGTTAGATAGGTTTTTCCTGTTTTTTTGGTGTTACTTCTCTCTCCGCTGAGTCCACGGTGTGAATTAATTGAAAAAAATAACAAAATCTACCGATCAAAAACTCCGATCTCTCGCCGAGTCTACGGGCCGCGGCCGGTCCAGTTCCATTGTCTGCAAAATTGGTTTAACTGCATTTGTTTCTACGCTGAAAGATGTATCCAACCCAACTGATTTAGAAAACGCCAGTGACAGGAAAAAGTACCACCCAGAATGGAAGGCCGCGGCCGCGTTGAGACTCTAGATCCTATTTGTAGTGGGATTTATCCACCCTCTTCTCCTGCTGCCATGTGCGCATCAGGAAAGTTGGCCGGGGGAGGAAAGGGAGGGACCGCTGGTCCTACCGGGCGAAGGCGATCGCGGGGGTTGGGCGGGGGCGGGGCTCCGTTGTGAGGTGCTGCTGGCTGATCTTGTTTGCCGCGCCCTTTGCCTTTGCCTTTCGCCTGTTTGCCTTTGCCTTTGCCTTTTCCCTTAGCTGGTTTCCGAATCCGGTTGACGAAGATTCTCTCAGGGCATCCTACTGCTTGACATTTCGGAGCTAACTGCAGTAGGACATACGATACTTGCAAGCCCGCCGCTCCGTTGCGGCGGCGCAGCATGTAGTGGTGGGGTTGTCCTGCCTGAAGATTCCAACCACCTGCTATAGCGGTGGGAGATATTCTTCTAGGAGAAGGGAAATGGGGCGAGCTCCCCGCAGTAATGCCGCCGTGGCTGGGGCTGCATCTCCCAGGGCCCGCGTTAACCTTTCCGCAGTGGTTCGGACAACTTCCTGCATCGCAGGTGATACATGTGGCTGTGAGAAGGTTTCGCCGCAAATCTCTACAGGTTCCCAGGATAATTGGCAAGGCCTGAGACAC